TTAAGCGTACTGCACGTAACATTTCTGAAGTTTTAGCTCAATTAAAGCTCCTGCCCATACATGGATGGGACATGGCCTCACCATGTCCCGAAGGTCCCTTTCCTGCCCATGCCTCGAACTCAAAGGAGCTTCATTTTGAATGAAAATGAAATAAAGTGACAGCAACATATAACCACTCATTTTCCCTCAAAATTAGCTCTGCAAGAGAAACATAGAAAGAAGATCAACCCTTAATTGAATGTAATTCAAATGTGTTTCCACCTCAATTTTTTTTTTTTTTTTTTTTTTTTTTAATGTGAATTATGGTGTTGTAGACTTCTGTTAAGTTTCTGATATCATATTATTACTATCTTCTTATCCCTTCCTGCAAAAAGGTAGTAAAAACAGTCCTTGTTCTTCATCATTGTATGCTTGTACATCAATCAATAAAACAAGAGGCACCTGTAGCTTAGAGGATTAGAGCACGCGGCTACAAATTGATTTGTAACACAAATTATAGGTGTGCGATCCTTCTGTAACTGTGTTTAAAGGTCATGGTTTACCTAAGGAGGCCGAGGAGTACCTGGCCTCACACGGGCTTCAGAATGCAATGTATACGGTTGGTGCCAGTGACGTTAAAGATGATCTTTTTGGGAAACTTGTTCCTTGCCCATTTCAGGTTGGGGTTATTGATCCCTGTATTGTATTTTCTTAATTTGAAAAGATTCATGTTAACAGGTGAAGTCCTCTCTGTTAGGCTAAAGGGAATTTATCATTTGTTTTGCTGGCTTGAACTTTTGCATACTCTGCAAATTGTTCCATAAATTTTTTGAACTTTATTTTCATTGTCTGAGCCTTTTCTAAAGTTTTGACATTCTCTAATAACTTTCTTGCTAAAAACTGCATTGAACCACCTATTTATGTATATTTGGCATATGATATATTAAGACTAAATTCTATGAGTTGCTCTCTTCAATTATTGATTATATGTGCTGATTTTTGCTTTGTTCCAGGAACCAGCGTCTTTTGGTGGGAATACATCTGATGAGGTTTCTTCTCCAAAGAGGATGCGCATGGTACTTACACTAGATCATGCTGTGATGCTTAAACTGATAATCAATGCATATTAGGAAAATTTTAGTTTGACAACATTTTTGCATATTGTGTTATATGCATAATATGAACTAATTTGGAGCAAACATGTGTCTGTTGCTGAATTTAATAGTACTAAATTGAGGAAAATATTATCTTTCTTTAATGTGATACTTCCAATGGTTGGAAGTTCGGTAAATCAGTTTCGAAATCAGGACATGTTAGGTTACTGTAAGAAAATTTGATACTTTAACTATATTTTTTATGTGATTGCCTTATTAATCAGAATCTACTGAAATCTTGGGATTATGGTGACCACACCTTCACTCAGTACACAACTTATGGATTATGGATTACCTCGTTCTGTCCTTGTTATGTTTTGTAACCTTGTATAATGGTGTTTGCAAAGTGGTCTCGATAAGAGCTGTATATAGACTTGATTATGCTTTTGTAAGAATTGTATACCTGATTTGACTTTTTTGTTTTGTGTAGGATCTTGGATACATTTCAACAACTCCTCTAAATCAAGCAAATTCTTCTAATTGTGTGAGTTACTGCTTTGATTCTTCATCTATATTTGTGATCCATGTGAGCTATCCACCCCAACCAACCCCGCCCAACCCAAAAAAAAAAAGTGCAATGATTATTCTTTGTTGATACCTGATTCTTTCTCATGCCAAAATATGACATAGTTTAATACTTCTGTTACTTAATGGCATAGTTTTATGTTTCTTTGACTTAATGGGCAAGAAGATAATATTTGTTTATGTCCAGTGCTCCTGTGTTCTTAAGTTTGATGGTGCCTCGAAAGGAAATCCTGGACTAGCTGGTGCGGGAGCAGTTTTGCGTGCTGAAGATGGCAGTATGGTGTGTAATTACTCTGATTGGATGTTCAGCTTCTAGGTTGTTGTATCTTTATAAGACCTAACTCTCTCTTACCCTGAATTTTGGTAGGTCTGCAGACTTCGAGAAGGAGTTGGCATTGCAACCAATAATGTTGCTGAATATCGAGCTGTGCTTTTAGGATTGAAATATGCTCTTAAGAAAGGGTTCAAAAACATTCGTGTCCAGGGGGATTCTAAGCTTGTTTGTATGCAGGTATTTAATTTTATCATCCTCAAATTTAATTGTAGAAATGGTACATAAGAGAAGGTTATGTTAGTGCAAGTTTATTCAAATTTGCAGAAAAAAGAAAAAGGACTAGTGAAATTATGAAGGAAAAGTGAAATCTTGATACAAAATGCCTTGCAAGAGGTCAAATTTCTTGCATGCTCTTTATGTGAATATGTGTTGACAGCTTCTGTTGAAGTAATATGGTCATTATTTATCACTTTCTTTTTTCTTGATGAACATCATTGCCTTCTTTCTAATTACTTGAGGATTTTTCTCTGTTCTGGTAATTAGTTCTTATTTTAATGAGAATTCATCATGGAATAGATTCAGGGACTATGGAAAGTCAATAACCCGAATTTGGCTGGCTTGTGTAAAGAGGCAAAGGAGCTCAAGGATAAGTTTCGGTCATTTCAGATCAGTCATGTTTTGAGGGTACATTCTGATAATTACTTTTCTAGGTTATAGCTCTGTTTTCTTGTTATATTTGTGTTCATCTTCTCTGAAATTTGGTTTGTGATTATCATTTATTGAAAATTCATTTTTCCCCATGGCTATGAGTTTTCTAATCCATGACAAAGTAGCCAGCTATAATAGTTTTTGTTTTCTTCTGATTGTGAGGTCATTACTGGCTTGTGTTATATGCTGAGTTGCTATCATAATTTTTTCATTTTAAACGTGCAAATAAGCCTTAAAAATGGAGTATATTGGATTTGATAAATTTTGAGTGATATTGACAATTAATCGTTATTCATATTAATTCTTTGGTTTAGATATTACTCTGTATTCAATCATGATTATGACTCATAGATGCAATGTAAAATATGTTTGAGATTTTATTGTTTACACAGGCAATTTCAAGCATATGTTAGTGAGTGCATTCTTTACATTCTTCCTTTATCTGAATTTTATTGTTGTTGTTTGTGTCTGTATTTAGTTTTTGCTCTCAGAACCATTTTGTCTGACATATTAATATTCATTTTCCAAGGAATACAATTCTGAAGCTGATGCTCAAGCTAACCTGGGTGTACACCTCCTAGGTGAGGGCCTTCTCTCTCAACTGAAGTTTTTAACTATTTATGGCTTTGAAGGTTTATAATGTTTCACATCTTAGCTTAAGTTTTAACAATTGAGTCCAATGCTTATGCAGATGGTCAAATTGAAGAGGATATTACAATGGGGAGTGCAAGTACCAGAAAGGCAAGCTACTATGTTTCTATGCTGAAAAGAAAAATTTGGTAGATGTGTTTGGACTTGCCATCACTGACACCATTATGTTTATGTTCTTTTCCAGGTGAAATGAATGAAGTAGATAAAATTCCAAGATGTTCAAGGAGTATTGGAACAAATACTGTAGTTAGTGGTCATGGTTTAAGCTTATGCATTCTCTTCAAGCAGCCAGTTGTGCTGTTGGAATTTCCAGCTTAATGGGAATTAATTTTGGGGCTCGACTTTTGTTTCTCTGGGCGGCTGTATGTTTAACTAAGTCTTCCATGAATGACATGTAAATCCTCAGAAGAATTCTTCTTATGTAACCATGATAATACTCAAATGTGTATAACTGCATATTGACACCAACTCCAGAGACCTTCAGTTGCAATTTCTAGACAGCACCTTCATTTGCAATGTAGCTCATGCTTTTCATTTACACCTTATTGAAATAGATTTTCATAGTGTTCATCTGATTCTGGTTGTATTTTGGTTGAAAAGTACTTAGATATTACTAATATTACAGGGAATTGTTAAGATACCACCATAGACCATACCGGACAATTAGTTTTACCCTTTTCATTTCTTCCTCTTTCTTTATCCTTTTTTTTTTTTTTTTTTTGTTTTTTTAATCAAGAAGTCTGGATCAGTTTACTAATACTTCGACTATCTTTAGGAGGGACTAATGCAATTGAGGAAAGTGGGAAACTAGCGTAGCAATCCTCTACCACAATCTCTTACTTAATTATAGATGTTCATATAAGAATCGAATGTAATATTACGTGTCTATTCAATATCTTTATCATTTTATCATCTAGGCTATTCACATACGATTATCATAGTTTTTTGCTTAATTATGGATGTCTATCATCTTAATCATCTAGGCTATTACATATGATTTATCATATTTTTTCATTTATTATGGATGCTCATATCGGAAATCGAATATAATATTATGTGTTTATTCATACTATCTCTAATTCGTCTTAACCATCGAGGCTATTCATAGATGAGTTTCTTTGCGTTTTTGTGATTATGGTGTAATCAATCCTTGACCCATCTTGAACCATGATCTAATGACCGTTTAGGAGATTAATATTTGATAAAATGGGAAGTTTTTTCACTTGAAAATTTTATGTTGATAAGTTGAAGAGTAGATTAAAAATATTTATATACTTGCTACAGTAAGCTGTAACTGATAAAACAGAGAGGTTGAAATCTATGCTCTCAAAGTAGCGTAACTTAAGATATATGTGAATATTTAGACACTAGATAATCTCTGTGAACTGGATAGGACCAAAACGCCACTTGAGTTTTACCGATAAGTTGAGAAGGGTCACTTGGCTTCACCTTAAACTGAACATCACCAAAATGGCCACAGTCTCAGCCCTTCAACTCTACATTCATCTTACATAGTCAAACCTCGGACTGACAGACCAAGCTCTTCTCGTTCTTTCGCATTCCATGAGAACCCACCAGTTTCAGACCAAGTTTGACTCTGAAAGTGACGGCGAAGGTCGGTTTTGAGGGAATGAGAAGGTTGAGGTCGGTGAAGAGGAGGAACTTTAGTTACCGAACAGAAACTGAAGGAGTACAAGAACAAGAACAAGGAAGGAGAAGACACAGTTGTTGCTGCGGAGGAACAACAGCCTGTTGCTGTTCCTGTCTCTCCTTCGGATAAGGTCACCATGCCCTTCCAGGTACCTGTTTCTGTCTTGTGCTTGTCTCTTTCTTATGTTTCTTGCAAATTTTTGTTGTAATTTTTAAGCCCCCATTAATATAAATGAATGAAGATTGACTTTTTGGTTTTGCTTACTTAATTTTTGAATTGTTATTGAAGTTTGATTAGAAATGCTGATGTTATTGCAAGCTTAGTTTTTCTCAATGTTATTAAAGTAAGCAGAGGTTTTTCCTCAGAAAAGTGAAACATTTAGATGCTTTGTAAGGGATATGTGCTCTTACCTTGGAATTTATGTTTATTGATGCTATTTTCTCTTGAAGCCCTGTGTATTTTAATTTAATGTGTGTCTGTAGATTATTGATTTTGCATTCTTGAATTTCATTCTTACTCATTTTCTATTGATATTTGTTTCTACACAAATGGTGTTTTGAAGGTGTCCGGAAATCGTTCTCGAGACTCCTTTTCTTAGTTTTTATTGCTGTAAATGTTGCCTTCTTTTAAGACACTTTTATAATAGATTGCTAATTGTTGATTGTGTTCTGTGTATGAAGGCGGATGGAACTATGAATGAAACGTCTATTCCTAATGTGACAAAGGCCTTAGAGGTAATTGAGTTTTAGTCTTTAAAATTTGTATTTGTGTATGTCTTTGCGCTAGTGTTTTCATTCTTATTTTTGTTGAATGAGTTGCATGCAAAGAATGTGGTAAAAGTGTTTGTGAAAGGAAAAAGCTTGCTGTTGTATTTACTTAAAAAAATTTGAGTGCTTAGTGGGATTGATCTTGGATCAACTGAAAAAGGAACCCAACCATAAATTAAGCCTAACATAGGACTTGCTGTTAGATTACACTCCAGTAATCTTCTGTTTGATAATGAACAATATGGTAACAAGTTGATTTTTGGTTAATTCCGATGATGTTGTTGGATGTTAATTCTATCGGATTTTGGTGCCAAACTTCTGACACGGTCATGGGAGATCAAAGCCACTTTTGTCTGGAAATGGGAGACATTCAATGTTTGAAGTATGAAAGACAAGGGGTCTGGAACTGTAGTGAAGCACATCGTGTGTTGAATATTTGAACCATTGGCAAGATAGATTCTCCCCTAATTTGTAGCAAGTGACATTCTTACTTTAAAAAGTGGAGGAATCTCGTTTTTGGTCAGCTTGTCTTTTTAAGAGTTATTAATCAATCTTGAATGGATTTTTTCCAATAACAAATTCACTATGTGGAACTTTCTGTACTCAAAGCTTGGTCATGGTCCCACTTACACAAGAAGTCATCTTTTATTTTATGAGCTTGAACATTGCTTTAATTTGTTTCTTTTGCAGGGAACGGAGGGATATTACAGATTTAAAAGTTCAAGTCCTTGAGAGTATTGCAACTGTTGAGGTAGTATGATATTACATTTTTGAGATTGAAGTTCACTTCCCGTGAGCATGGTCTTTTTATCTCTGAGTTTTGAAGTACTCAAATTTCAACACGTACAAAATTTATTATCAATTGACTTTTGTTCATATATTAGCGCTTCGTTTTGGGTTAATTGCCTAAAAAATATTAAGTTTTTTTCCTTTCTAGATCTTGTTCACGAAATTAATAGCTAGGTAGAGTATGTTTAATCCGGTCTCCTGAAAGAGATATTGATACTTAATCTCAATGTTAGTGTGACCCTTAATTCTTTTTATTCATTGAAGAAAACAACGACTCATACACGCTACAGTCGGCTGCTAGTTTGATTGAGATCATACGGTTTCAGGCTTCAAGTTACAGACCTGAATTTGAGTTTTGAGGATGAAGAGGAAGTTCTTGTCTAGATATTACGCGTCGTTTTTTAAAATCAATCATGAAAGGAGGAAAGTTCTCTTTGATGTCCTTTTTTCCTCAAAACCTTGGTATTGGACTATAGTTAGGCATATTCTTGAGAGAAACTGTATTTTTCACTTACTGTTTCCATCATGTTAAAAGTCATTGGTTGTTGACCTTATGCTTGAGATACTTCTCAAATTACAATTGGCGATGCTGTGCGGTTAGTAATGTGTGGTGATTATACCGTTGCTATCTAGTTTTATAGCGCACAGTTAAGTTCCAGTTCAAGTCCTTCTCTAGACTATTTTTCAGCCATCGAATATGTCGAGAAAATACAATATTTCAGCTTTCTTCCTGAATTCCCGTCTTGCTTCTTTTCATTCTGTGAACTAATGGTGTTGAAAACTATGTTAAGCTCAAAGAAGTAGTATATAAAAGTAAAGATCCAAGTAAATGAGCTTGGGAAAAAAAAAAAAAAAAATCTTGTAAACCATGAAAATCCAGGCGTTATTTTAGTGTGTTCTGGGAAATGAGAAGTAAAGGGAGATATTCAGGAGCCATGTTGTGGCATGCAATTATTGAATACTGAATTTTTTAAGCGTACTGCACGTAACATTTCGAAGTTTTAGCTCAATTAAAGCTCCTGCCCATACATGGATGGGACATGGCCTCACCATGTCCCGAAGGTCCCTTTCCTGCCCATGCCTCGAACTCAAAGGAGCTTCATTTTGAATGAAAATGAAATAAAGTGACAGCAACATATAACCACTCATTTTCCTGCAAAATAGCTCTGCAAGAAGAAACATAGAAAGAAGATACAACCCTTAATTGAATGTAATCAAATGTGTTTCCACCTCAATTTTTTTTTTTTTTTTTTTTTTTTTTAATGTGAATATTGGTGTTGTAGACTTCTGTTAAGTTTCTGATATCATATTATTACTATCTTCTTATCCCTTCCTGCAAAAAGGGTAGTAAAACAGTCCTTGTTCTTCATCATTGTATGCTTGTACATCAATCAATAAAACAAGAGGCACCTTAGCTTAGAGGATTAGAGCACGCGGCTACAAAATTGATTTGTAACACAAAAGCGAGATCGATACGTTTCTTAATCTACTTTGGGAGTCTATGTTAGGATCTACTTGTTGAAATTATTGAAAACGGTTTTTTCTTGTTCCAATCGCTTGTCTTACTATAAATTATTAGTTTTAGATATTATTTCGTGATCTTTATCGTTTGAAAAAAGGCAACCAACACATCCGTTTTCGTGATTTCCATTTACGTAATGAAGGATAAAGGTAAATTTTTGATAATATGTTCATCAGCTTACCACCATTCTATGCCGTAATGATAAGAACAGACATTTCCCAGAAGCTTCAAACAAAAGGTTATGCCAATCTATCACTAAAATTTGATTCAATTTTGTCCATGGGCAATGCCACTAGCTTTCTAGTACTTTTTTGTAATAGTGAAAAAGTCAAGCTGTGGGGCAAAGCCTGGCCTCTCAGTCTCCCTCTGCTAATGCTACTGTTGAGATATTATTTCTAATTGGATACAGCCTTTGGATACTTAGAAAAATACTCCAAAATAAGTTATTGAAGATGAAGTTGGATCTATGTTCAATATGGTGTTCCTTGTAAGTGTATAAATGCATACATTACAACGAATTTTATTCATTAAAAAGAAAAGAAAACACACCATCATTCAAAGTTGGTAATAATTTTCTTGACCTGTCATGAGAAAAGGATTCACATGCAACTTACCTGTAGAGGGCCCCTCGCCAACTGAGATTTAAACAATTCTTCGTTGGACATAAATCCAGAAACATTTTTCTTGCTAATTACTAATATGTCTCAATCTTGAGATAATGCTGCAATTAGTACTAATAAAAGTTAAAAAAAAAAAAAAGAAAAATAATAGGGTTTGTGATGACAGGCACTTTATCAAAGAAAACCATGGGATTCCTTTTCCATCACACTGGAGGACACAGTCCCAATTTTCATGTAGCCATTGTCTTGTCTGTTTCTCAGACAGACGAAAAGAAGAGAACGAGATAGACTTCAACTGTTTGAATGATGTTTCCGAGGGTTGTCATTGGGATCTACATTAGTTGTGATGTAATGAGCTAGCAAAGCTCTAGATTAGTGAATCTTGCTCATTGATTATTATTATTATTTGACTACTGTTTTAACATGTGATGCCACATGTACAGAACTCAATGTATGAAAAAAAAATCCCACTTGCCCTGCTTAATTGTTTTTATAATTTCAGTTCAGGAAACTTTCTCCAAGGATTATGATCATTATAGCAAGTTTAGCAATAGGTAATGGACATGGACATGGTTCTATTCCCATTACCAGCAAATCATAGGGTAAGAGGGAAGATGCCCCCACTGGAAGCACATGTGGATTATAGTTGGCGAATGGCAAAGGCAGTAAGGCACAGGAGTGATCCAAATCCAAATAGTTTAACCCAACAAAATTTATCTAAAAAGAAGTGAGATGACCAAACCAGGATGTAACTTGTTCCAAGTTTTGGCAGACATGGCCTCGTGTGCGGGTTAATAAAAAGATATTTGACATGTGAATGGTACTGATAACAGATATACTAATTTATCAGACATTGTCAGGTTTTTGAACTGCTAGCCATAAGTTATGTGCTCAGTGATCGGTGAAGCTGGCATTGTACATTTATTGAACCAAAGCCAGCTGGTAAATAAAGATCTATTATCTTTCACCTCTGTCTCTCTCTTATTATTACAAGTTTGTGCTTGCTTCAAAGCATCAACCGCTGTCTAGCTCTTCTGGATGCTTGGGTTCCTTTTCTTACCCAACAATGGCTTTCAGACCTCTGCTCCTTCTATTGGCCACTTTTCTTGTAGTTTCTGCAAGGGTATGCCTCTTTGTCACCCTTGAGTACTATTCTCACATCACACGGAGTACATGTAATTTTTTAATGGCTAAATGTGTAATTTTGTGCTTTTTTTTTTTTTTTTTTTGGTAGGTTCATCTAGCAATGAAGAGGAACTTCTGTTTGGAAAGGTAAATTCATGACAATGTTTACTTAGCATGTTCAAAAATGTGCAGAAATATGTTCATTTTCTCTAGCTACAATGTGAGTAAACAAGTTGTTTGCTACTTCGCTATTTGAGTTTATATTGACAAGTTTGATTACAGCACCAGCTCCACCACACGTGAAGACACCACCTACTGCTACTCCCCCACCTGGTGAGCCCCACCCAACAACTCCACCACCGCTGGTGAAGCGCCCAAGACTACTCCAACACCGTGAGACCCACCGCAGTCCACACCGCCACCGCCAGTGAGCCCACCAAGGCCACACCACCTCCACCAGTGAACCCCTAAGCCACACCCCCTCCACCAGTCCCCCACCCAAGCCACCACCTCCACCTGAGCCCACCCAAACCACACCACCATCACATGAGCCCACCCAAGACCACACCACCATCACCATAGCCCACCCAAAACCCCTCCACCACCACCATGAGCCCACCTAAAACTACTCACCAAAGTGAGCCCCCCTGCCTCCGGTGAGACAAAAAGGTAACACATACGTAACTAAAAATACTCGGACTTAAAATACTCTTTTAGCCTTTTGTTGACAATATAACTTTTTGTTGTTTTTTGGGCAGATTGCCTTCCATTATGTGGAAGAGGTGCAAATTACATTCCAGGAAGAATCTGTGTGTTAGAGCTTGTGTTACATGCTTGACAGGTGCAATGTGTTCCACCAGGAACTTATGCAACAGAGAGCTTTGTGGCAAGTGCTACACTGATAGACCACTAAAACAACAAACCCAAATGCCCTTGAAGATTTTTAATTAAAGTAAAAATCTGAGTCCTGGCTTCATGTTAGCTAGAGTGTGCAATTTTGTATTTTCTCTCCAAGAAAAAAAAAAAAAAAAATTACCAGTTCATGTTTTCTATTGTGTCTACTGAAATTTCCTGTGTAATGTACTACCCCAGATAAATAATATATATTAATGTAGCTAAGTTGCATTAAAATATTGTTGTAATGTCTCGTGAGAGAAATGTAGCTTTCAGTCAGTAAACTTGATTATTGTACTAGCAGATCCATGCCAACAAGCAAGTGACAATTTTAAAAGCTTTCAGCGGCGGCCCCAATCAGCACGAATAAGTAATAAATGAAAATGAGAACATGGAGCCTAGAGGTTTCATTATAACCAACTGTGGCTCCACAATTTCCTGATATAATGGTAATGGTGATAATCATTATGATCCGCATTCAGGATCTCTGTTTTAAATTAAGTTAAAAAATTTACTCAAAAGCTATAAATTACCCTAAGTGATGTGTGAATCTTCGTAACCAAACAATAGTCTATGTTGATGGGTCAGTTTAATTTGTTCAAGAATTTATTGCCACTCAATCTGGTTGTTGAAACAAATAACTACAACCACAGAAACACTACACTGGTGCCAACTAGCTGGGGTCCAAAGCTACGGTCAAATGAAATGAAGAGTACGAAAATATCTTTCAATTCGCCTGAGCCTCCTAGGTAAGTAAGACTTCTTTATTTACCTAACCACTCCAAATATTGCAGAGTTTTTTCATATATATAGTTTCATAAACTTTTTTTATTTTGTAAATCAGGATTTTGATGCCGAAATTAAAATTGAGTGTCACAAAAAGATTTAAGTTTAACAGGTAGTTGGGACTTGGGATAGAGGGTTATTAGAATAAGATATTTGATTCTAGCATTGGCCCATGGAGAATGGGCAGTGGGTATCTGTTTGTCTCATTGTAATTTAAGAAGTGGGCCAAAGCTTGTACTCAACAGTCAATATGCATGCATGCAGTCTTGATCACCATATTGCTGTTGAGATAGTGTCCATTACATATATATTCGTGTCTCGCTTCTATTAATTAGATCTCTTCAAAGGTTTATTACTTTAGTACAGTCTGCAACTTGATCTCCTCATATCATTCAGTGAAGCTACCAATAAAATGTCTTAGATCCGAAGTATTGAAAGAGAGAATGTTGTGTGTGGAGTAATTAACTTTTAATTAAGAGATTATGGACTGCTATCTATAACTCAAGCTGCTTCTGCATTGGCTGCAGAGTCACTTATCAATTGCTAGCTCTTGAGATCAACATTTTTGGCTCAATGTCTTTCAAAATTTTGCTGCTTTCGTTGGCTGCATTTCTTTCAGTCAATGCTACAAGACTAATAACCTCTCATTTCTGCTCTGCATTTGCTAATAAATATATGGATATGATTAATTTGAACCTAATAGGTTTCATCAAAATAAGATGTTGAGAAAGTTGGCGCACCTCTGAAGCCAATCCCAGAGGTCCTCATACATGCAATATCTATGTGTTTATACTAAGCTGTTGTTTATCTTGTTTGCCTGGAGCATTGGTCTCCTATTATATGCGTAGATATCATATTTTCTGTTTACTTAGATTTCATCCAAATCCGTGAAGAAACCCATCGAAGCCAGGTACATCACTGAAATAACCAAAAGACAGAACATCACCAGAAGGATATTCACCGTCCAAAACTGCTTCAGCATAAGGAGACTTGGAACCCAGTCTCCGATCAGGTGCAAGACTCACCAGCACCAGCTGGTGAAGGAGGAGAAGCACCCCCAGGGAAGACATGTTAAAATCCTTGAGTATAATTTATAAGTGCTCTGGTTGATCAATAGCAATTAATCTGATCCGGTGAAATACCGAATTAGAATCAATGTCTTAAAATTAATATTGTAGGGTTAATAAATTAATTATCAGTAGTGTTTTAATTAGAAGAGCTTCAGGTATATCGACGTGATAACGTGGAGATCTTTGCTTCAGAATTATTGAGCATCCAATGGATTCATGGACAGAGTCAACAACCGTTGTTCTTTGTTTAAAAGGTATGAGCCTTAAGTACTCAATCAGATCATAACTACAATTTAAGTAAAGGCAATGTGACCAATTTTTCAGAGAATTGACTCTCTGTTTTACTTACTTTATCTAATCACTTAAAAGATTATGTTATACATATTTATTATTTGCAATGCATAAATTTTATGTTGAAATGTATAGTATTATTCGTAATTGAAATAATTTTTCTTAGTGGATAACACTTTCATCCTTGTCATTATGGATAAAAATAAGTCTCTAAATATCTCTAATCTCACCCTATATTGATATAAAGAGCTACCCAACTAAACTAATCACCTCTTCTTTTTGGTTTCAACACCCCCACCCTTTTTTTTTTTTTTTTTTTGGAAGACCTAGAGTTAGGTGAAATGCCCAGGTTGTTGCATCTATGTAGAGGAAATTCTCAGCCTAGCAATGCTTTTCAAAATCTCAAGACTCGGAAAGTATCAGCATGTGATAGTTTAGAAAATTCATGGTCATCGTCAGTGTCTTTTCCAGAATTTGGAGACTTTGTAAGTTTCAAAGTGTGATGGATTGAGATATTTACTGACCCCCTTAAAAGCTAAAACTCTGGATCGAACTTGCAAGAATGAATGTATCTGATTGCAAAATGATGGAGGAGATTATGACACATTTGGGAGATGAAGTACTGCAGGATCTAACTGTTTTCAACAGATTGGATTGTTTGGGACTTCACTGTTTGTCCAGCCGTAAAAGCTTTCGTTGTGGGGATTATACTCTTGAATTCCCATCCTTGAAAAAAGTAATTGTCAGACAATGCTTGAAGATGGAAACTTTTTGTCATGGAGTTTTAAGCACACCAAAGCTACAAAAACTACAATTAACAGGAGGAAAGAATGAAGTAGAAGAATATTGGGAAGCAACCTTAATTTCACTATACAACATATGTAAAAAAACAATATGGTATCTATTGACTCACCAACATATGTGATGCTTTTCCACTGTGATTTTTGTATTGAATTGCTTGAATCATGTTTTCTCTTTATTTCTGAATCCAGTGTGGTATGCTTTATAATTACTGATTATAGACAGTTCCAAGAAGATTGAGGACATCCTTCGTGCGCAAATTGGAATAAGACTAGTTCTTCAAATGGATTCTGATACAACATGGCTCCATTTCCTCCCGGTGAAGAGGGACTTTGTTTCTTCTATCTTAACTGAAATTATCTTCATCTTTGGTTGAAGGAGGAGTGCCCTCTGTTTACACGTTTGCCCTTTTGTTTTTAATTTGTTGGATTTGTTTTATGTAATCAAATTTCTCCCAAGTTGCCAAACCCTTTGGGCAAACAAGACGATACAATTTAACCACCTGAAAAATGCTGTTTGTTAATTACTGTGGTGATGATCTTCTCTTTCGAGCATTGAGTTTTTTGTGTGCTTTCACATTTTCAAAGTGTTCATCTCAGTATAATTTTAAGAATGCGTTCTAAGATTGTCAGAATTATGTGTTTCCAAAATGTTTTTTCAGTGATGTAAAGATATATATCATATTTTGATTTCAAGAAACATTCAGAAGTGTAATCAATAACAGTGAGTTTTTATATATCCTACAACCATTTTTATCTATAAAAAATAAAGCAACACAGAGCTCCTCTGTTTCCATTTCCCTGTTTTCTGTCAAACTTTCATTAACTTTCATCAGGCAAGAGGAATTTTGGTTTCCAATTGGATTTTTCTACTCTCTGTGTTGTTAGAATATGATGGCTTTTAAGTATATACTTATAATATCAGTCAGTAATTTTTTTCTTCTAAAAACTATATATATATTCATATCGTTTGATTCTTCTTCTTTGAATGAGAAGCGGGTGGTGGGCGGGCGGCCACACAACATGACAGCGACAAGACACATTCTTGATTGCTCCGTAGAAAAAACGATGCCGAACACCGCACGCTGTTGTTATTGTGTGGTTGTCATGCTAGTTTTGCTTGATTAATTGAATCTACTTGGCTTTTTATTTCTTAGTTGTTTTCATACTCGATTATTGCTCGCTCTCTCTCAAAACTATTTTGTCCATTTCCACTACTAAAGTCTTGGTCTTCCTTTCCTTTCAAAAAAAAAAAAAAAAAAAAAAAAAATCTACAGCAAAAATCTACCCAATACTCTGTTTTATCAATTTTTGTTGCTTATTATTGCTCACAAAGAAGAGAAACGCACACTACTCCTTGAATTACTTTGCTCTTACTCTCAGATTAAGCCATTAAGCTGCACTTAGTTTTATTCTTGTCCTTCTTCTGCGTTTTTTCTTTACTCTTTCCTTCACTTTCAATTCTGTGTACTTTATATTCAGTATCCATAAATTTACTTTAAAAAAAAAAAAAAAAAATTTCTCAACTTTTCTGATACTGATAGCAGAGATCTGTTTCGTTAAAGGTAAGATTCTGTTTACGGAGCTTTCCTTGTAAGTATTTTGCTTATTAACTCTGTTTCTTTTTCTCACTTTTATCTTTATATCCAGTAGTATTCATAAATATGTAGCTTCGTTTAAGATGATTAGAAGTAGTTAGTGGGTGTCGTGTTTGCTGCCTCATTCACTGGCTAAATAAGGCTTCAAGATAGATAGAAACAAGATATATAATTCAACTGCCTCTTGGATTATAGAAATTTGTCTTAAATATAAAACAAAACGCAATCTTAAACCCAGAAAATCTATCACATGGATCAATTATGGGATTCAATTCCAGCGTTGATTTTGTTATAGAACACCAAATTTATATAAATTAACCTTTGATTTCACTTTTTTTAAGAAGAGTATTGGAATCTCTAAATATGTAATTAATTAAAGATTACCCTATTGTTTATTAATATTAATTTCTTATTTGCACATAATAATCATAAATCATTGTCATCCGAGATATCAAATTTCTAATACTGCATATAATTTCCAATACAACAATACCAAAAACATTAGATTTAGCCCATGGAATGGTTATAAATTTTTGTTCAGCTTGAAACTGATAGAAAAAAAAATATATATTAATAGATGTATGGAATTAATAACCACATGTCTATTTGATTCATACTCGCAGGCGCACTTGTCTAGCAGAGATCTGTTTGCTTAAAGCTAGATTCTGTTTACCCAACTTTCCTTGTAAGTATTTTGTTTAGTAACTCTGCTTTTTTTTCTTTGTTTCCTATCAACCGTTTCTCACTTTTTAGTTTTTTCTTTATATCCAGTATTCATAAACATCTCACAAGAAATAGGCAATGGCTCAAGAATTAGCTCTGGCTGGTCCCTCTAAAGTTGTAGAAGATGCTACATCAGATATATATGGTTTGCTTAAACAGCAAATCTCTTATGTGTTCAAGTACCAGAACTACATCAACGACCTCAAGAAACAAGTTCAGGAGCTCAGAAATAAAAGACAAATGGTGCAGAAACCTGTAGAGTCTGCTGAAAGACAAGGGGAAGAGATTTATGAACTTGTTACAACATGGCTGAATGACGTGCATGAGTTCACTGAAGAGGTAGCAAAATCTATCATTGAGGATGAAGATAAAGCAAACAAGGGCGGTTGTTTCAAATTGGCGTCATGTCCTGATTTGATTCAACGTTACAGGCTTGGCAAAAAAGCAATGAAGGCCACAATAAATGGTGCGGATCTCTTGGGGAAAGGAAACTTTAGTCATGTTTCCTACCGTCCTGCTCTACAGAGGACAGAATCCATGTATGTTAGAGGCTACGAGGCCTTTGATTCTAGAATGCAAGTTTTGCAAGAAATTATGGACACATTGAAGGATGCTAATGTTAACATGATTGGGGTGTATGGGATGGGAGGTGTGGGCAAAACCACACTGGTCAGAAAAGTAGCTTGGCTGGCCAGGGAAAACAAGTTATTTGATGAGGTGGCCGTGGCTGAGGTAACACAAACCCCAGACTACAAAAAAGTTCAAGAAAAAATAGCTTTTGATTTAGGCCTGGAATTTGGGCAGGAGGGTGAATATCAGAGAGGTGGTTTACTACGGAATAGGATAAAGAAGGAGAAGAATGTACTTGTAATATTCGATGATATATGGACAAAGGTCGACTTGGATGCAATTGGAATTCCTTCCAGGGGAGCTGACAAACAAGGAAAAGATGACAAGGTGAGGCGATGCGTGGTATTGCTAACTTCTAGAAATCTGGATGTATTAAAAAAAGATATGAAGATTCTGAAGAACATCCCTGTTCATCCTTTATCTGATGGAGACTCATGGAATTTGTTTGGGAAAATTGTGGGTGATTAAGCAGAAAACCATGATTTTCATAATGTAGCAGTTCAGATAGTTACAAAATGTGCAGGTATACCGGTTGCAATTTCAACAATTGCAAATGCATTGAAAAATGAGAGTCTTAAAACTTGGAAAGAAACCTAGGATCAACTAAAAAGGTCAAATCCAAGATGCATTCTAGATATGGATGAAACTTTGTACTCTACTATAGAACTGAGTTACAATTTTTTGAAAAATGAGGAAGCAAAAACACTGTTTCTTCTTTGTGCTCTAGTAACTGCAAGCAGCAGTATATCCATAGGTGACTTATTGAAATATAGTATGGGTTGGAGTTTGTTTGGAGAAGGTTATACATTAGAAGAAGGAAGGAATAGATTGCAGAGGTTGATTGGTCATCTGAAAGCTTCTTGTTTATTGTTGGATGACGATGACGATGACGACAGAGTTCAAATGCATGACATTATTCATGCTGTTGCTGTATCGATTGCCTCAACAGATAAGTTCATGTTTAATATTCAAAATGTCACTGGCTTGAAGGAAGTATTGGAGGAGAAAAAAGATTCAACCGCTATATCTTTGCCGTCTGAAGATATTTATGGTGAGCTTCCCGAAAAGTTGGAATGTCCAAAACTCAAGTTCTTTTTGCTAGATATAACTAACAAAAATCTACAAATCCCAGATACCAAAAATCTACAAATCCCAGATACCTTTTTTGAAGGAATGACAGAACTGAAAGTTTTAGATTTGACAAGTCTCAAGTTCTTATCATTACCTTCATCACTTTATTGCCTTAAGAACATTCGAACCTTGTGTTTCTATTGTTGCCATCTAGAAGATGTAGCAATAGTTGGAAAGCTAAAGACATTAGAGATCCTTACCTTTGATGGATCTGATATTGAACAATTGCCCGAAGAAATCAGACAATTGACTCGATTGAAGTTGTTAGATTTGAGCAATTGTTTAAACCTTAGATACATTGCGCCAAATGTCATCTCCTGCTTGTCTCAATTAGAAGAACTATATATGGGCAATAACTTTGTTCAATGGGAGGCTGAAGGAGTCGATAATCTAGGACGAAGAAATGCTAGTCTTGGAGAGTTAAAGCGGTTGTCTAACCTAACAGCTTTACATCTTCATATTCAGGATGCTGGAGTTATGCCACGAGACTTGTTCTTTAAGAAGTTGAAAAGTTATAAGATATTTATAGGAGATAAATGGAAGTGGTCCCATAAATATGACCTTTCAACTTCAAGAATGCTCAAACTCAAGATCAACAATAGTACTTGTTTGGGGCCTGGGATTAAAGCTTTGTTGAAGATGACTGAAGATCTTTCTCTAGAGGAAATGAATGGTGTTAGAAATGTTCTTTATGAACTCGATATGGATGGTTTTCCACATTTGAAGCATCTGGTTGTAAAAGATTGTCTCGAGCTTTTATATATCATTAAATCAGTTGCTTGGAAACTAGCCTTTTCCGAGTTGGAGTCCTTGATCCTTCATAATTTGATTAATTTGGAGAAGATATGTCTTGGCCAACTCAATGAAGGGTCTTTTAGCAAATTAAGGATACTGAAAATAGAAAAATGTGATAGATTGGAGTATCTCTTTGCATCCTCCTTGGCAAAAAACCTTACTCAGCTACAAGAAATCGAAGTGACTGATTGTAAGAACCTAAAAGAGATTTTTGGTGAAAAAAGTAAAGACCATGGTGATGAAATCGAAACAAATGATGAGATTGACTTCAATCAATTGTGTTCTCTAACACTACAACGTCTACCACAATTCATAAAGATTGGTTCTGACATGAGGGTATGTTTTGTATTCTTCATCTTTTTTTTAATTTTATTTTTTCATGTAAATAGGAGTTTTCTTATTAGTTTATAAGTTATGTTTACAGGCAAGGTTTGTTTCTACAGGTTGTCTTTCCAAGATTGGAGAACTTGAAACTGTGCTCAATTAATATTGAGAATATGTGGCTTGATCAACCTCTCGCAATGTTTTCTTATAGTCAATGCTTAAAAAGCTTAACCGTGGAGGAGTGTAATGGCTTGAAATTTTTGTTTACATCCTCTATGGTCAAAAGTCTTAAGCAACTTCATAAGCTTGTGATAGGCAATTGTAAGTCAATGGAAGTAATAATCGACTCAAAAGGGGAGGAAGGAGAAGAAAGGATAATTGATATGAGCTTTCCTAAACTATTCTACCTAAAGCTTGAAATTCTACCAGAACTTGTAAGCTTTGGCACTGGGAATTCAATTGAATTCCTGTCTTTAAATGAACTTCATATTGATGGTTGCTCTAATTTGAAGACATTTTTCTGCAAATCTTTTTATCCAAGCACGGTGGGAGAAGAACCTGAAGAAGAACTAAACTTGGAGAACTACTTTATTGATATAAACCCTCTTTTTGATGAAAAGGTGATTTATCTTTATACTAAAAAACTATGTTGCCTATTGCTTTCAAAACTTTTTTCCTTTTTTTTCAATTTTGAGAGCAGAACCTTACCCAATATTTGGACATTTTCTTATTGTAAGATTGTGGGTCTTTTATACAAAAATATTGACATCGTGGTTTTTTTGCTACAGGTTGCTTTCCCAAACTTGGAGGTGATGGTACTCTTACACTTGGATAACTTGCAATTGATATGGCACAACCAACAACTCCATGCGGAATCATTTAGAAAACTAAAAGTAGTGAGAGTCGAATTCTGTGAAAAGTTAAAGACTATTGTTCCATCTAATTCTCACAGACTTCTCACATTTCAAAATCTGAAAGAGTTAAAAATAAAAAATTGTTGGAGTATGAAAAGTCTCTTTCCAGTTACTATAGCTACTGGTCTCGTGCAACTTAATGACCTTCGATTAGTCTCCTGTGGGTTGGAGAAAATTGTTTCTGAGGAGGAAGTTAAGGGGGCCCCTAATTTTTTGTTTCCACAATTAACAGTCTTCCATCTTGATAATTTACCAAAACTCAAATGTTTCTACTCGGGGTTGCATACAAGGGAGTGGCCAATGCTAAATAGTTTGCGTGTGTATGGTTGCGAGAAGATAAAAATATATGCTTCAGAATTCCCTAGCTTCCAAAGGAAAGATGACGGGGAAAGCCAACCTGCCATTTTTCTGTTAGAAAAGGTATTATGATTTAAGTTTCATCCATACTCACTAAAAAATGCAACATGTTTATGATTGTTCAAATTAATATGATCATTGCTTATTTTGATTATATATGTGCACAAATACTGTGGGATGGCCAATTTTCCATTTTACGTAGTATAACATAAATACTTTTATTTGGTCTCGCACTTTTTAGTATGATATAGTACCCCAAATGAAAATTAAGATTTAAACTAAGTGTAAGTCAATTTCAGTTTCCAATTCATAAGGACATTAATTTTTCTGTTGCAAATGAAAATAAACTAAGAAGCACTTTCCTTTTGCTTAGTTACAATAAAATCTTTTTTCTCTTTAAATCCATCGAGTTGATGTATAATAATCAACTAAATGATTCAACTATGAGATGGCAACTATTTTTCATTGATTGTTTTGAAGTATAGGAGATGTTGTTTTATATTGTAAATGACTAAACAAAAAATGGAAGAAGATCTCAACCATTGAGCTGTAACAGAAAAACAAAAAAATTCTTGTCTGCCGTTGATTTTGCTGGGAAGTAAATCAACTTGTTCAGCAAGTTGACCAACTTGCATAACAACCTTCAACAACTTAATCAACTTGCCTAACTACCTTATGCCACTTGACTTGCAACTTGATTTTGGTTAGAAAGTACCAATCATTAGCAGTCCAGAATCCAGCATTTGTTTGTTGTTTGAGTGAAGCGTGCATTCTCAATAATGATACTGATTGCTTCTTAAATATATGAAAAAATCGTAGCATTTTTCTGTGTATACGGTGAACTTGTTGATGAGTGAATGCTAACACCTACTTATTTGCTTGTTCATCAATTCTCAGGTCATACCGAATTTGGAGGAGTTGGGTTTAGATGCACATGACTTCAAATTGACATTCCTCCACTGTTATCTAGCTGAGAGCTTTGGCAAACTTAAAAAACTTTGGCTGAGTAACTTTGATGGTGAATCTGTTGCTTCTTTGTCTGGTTTCCTTCAAAGGTTAAATTGTTTGGAATCACTTTTTTTTGTTGATAATAGTTTCAAAGAGCTATTCCCCTATGAACAAGGGCATATATGGAAACAAGATTTACGAGGGGACACATTTATTCAAAATCTTCAAACTCTACAAGTAGTTAGCTGCCATCCTTTGACAATTTTGATGCCAACCGCAATGTCTTTCAAAAATCTTACAACTCTTGACACTTGGAGCTGCGATGGACTAGTCAACATACTTGCGTGCTCAGCAGCCAAAGCTCTTGTCAATCTCACAACAATGAGAATAAGAGATTGCAAGTTAGTGACAGAGGTAATAGCAAACGAGGGAGACAGAGAAGAAGAGATTGTTTTTGGCCAATTGAAAGTTTTGGAGCTTTACCGTTTATCAAGCCTCACATTCTTCTGCTCAACCAATTATTCCTTTAAATTCCTTTGTTTGGAGCAAGTTATTGTGAGTCAATGCCCAAAATTAAAGATCTTCTCTCAGGGAGTCTTAAGCACACCTTTGCTAAAGAGAGTACAATTGATGAGAAAAGATGACCCAGAATACTTTTGGAAGGAGGATCTGAATTCCACTATCCAGCAAATGTTTATAGACATGGTATTTATTCTTTAACAAAATCATTTTCTTTCCTTTTACAACATTGCTATTGATATCTATATATATATTTTTTTTTACAGATATTGCTACTAATATATATGATGATTTGTGATACTATTTATGATATTGTTTATATTATAATTTTGAATTAATGATAGAGATTGATGCAACAGCGCCAAAACCATGACTACAAGAGCTATCATCTTTTATAGACTAGGATGAAAAGTTGCCAAACTCCTATTTCAATTAAAAATTTATAATTCTAGGACTCCACGAATCTCAATCTACTATGGCATAAACAAATCAATTGCATGCTAAGCAAGTTTGAAAAGTATACATAATACTTGTTCAAAATTTTCACTAAGTTGTTTTTGAACAATTATTTTGTGTTTTGATTCAGGATCTAGTTTTTCTCAATCTGCTCTATAAGGGTCATTATGCCTTGGTTAAATTTTTATGAGAATTACTTGCAACTTGGACCATGTACATTTTTTTTTCTTACACAGTTTCAAAGTAGATTACAAAGACGAAACTAAATGATATTTGTTGTGCAAAATTGCATGAAAAAAGAATAGTATAATATGATTTATAATTCTGTACTATTTTTTTTTTTTTTTTCATTTGTTGTTATTATATATTCACAACTATGTAGTGGTTATTTTCTTTGGTTCATGTCTAATAAGTAAAAGCATAAGATTTTCAATCGTTCCATAGCTTTTTATGTCCAACTTTCAGGTGGTCTTATCATAGAGGGGCACTTATTAAAGCTATAAAGAAGTTCAAAATGTTGTTACATTTATGTATCATAATAATCATATATAAATATTCATTTTGTTAAGCTTAAAATATATTTCTATGTTTTAGTCTTTCAAAATTCAATATTTTAATCCAATATTTTGGGTTTCACAGGTTGGCTTCCGTAACTTTGAACATTTGACACTCTCTCAATTCCCCAACATGAAAGAAAAAATATGGAATGGTCAAGGACTAATTGACGTATTCTGGAATTTAAAGTCTTTAGTAGTGGATAAGTTTTCGGATATTTCAAGTGCTATTCCATCCAATGTGTTATGCCGCTTCAAAAATCTGGAAATGCTGGATGTAAGAAGTTGTGAATCACTAGAACAAGTGTTTGATTTGGAGGAAAATCGTCAAGAAATTTTGGGCTTAAAGAAATTGAAATCATTGAAAATTGACAATTGCGACAGCTTGAGATACATACTTACACCATCTATGCTGTTGAGTCTTGTTCAACTCCAAGAGATAGAGGTGAAAAGCTGTGCTTTGATAGAAGAAATTGTCAAAAAGGAAGCGCAAAAGGGTGCAGTGAGTGATAAAATTATAATCCCTCAATTAAACTCTGTTGTGCTTGAGTCATTGCCTAACTTGACAAGCTTCTATTCGGGAAGTGAAATTTTGGAATATCCTCCCTTGGAAACTATTATCATTAAGGACTGTCAAAAGATACATATGAAGGAGTTTAGTATCCATCTTGCATCTCTTTTCACCGTAAAGGTAAGTCTGTTTCAATTCTTTTTACACGATGATAAGTTTTAATAAAGAAATTCTCATATTTTACGAAACAAAATAAAGTTTTTAAGTTTCTAAAACAAACATTTTATATGCATGCAGGTTGTATTACCCAGCTTGGAAGCATCTTCTTGCTTCCAGAATTTAACAATCTTGGTCATTGATGGCTTTGATCAATTAAAATATTTATTCCCATCTTCAATGGTCAAAAGTCTTTTCAAACTGAAGAAGCTTGAGATATCTAACTGTAAGTTCATGGAAAGAGTAATAGATGAAGATGAAGAGAGATCAAGTAGGATGTTGTTTCCTAAATTATACGAGCTGAAGCTCACGGATCTTCCAAAACTCACAACATTCTACAACTCCACTGCAAAATTTGTTGAAATGTCCTCCTTATTCAGACTGTTGATTGAAAATTGCCCTGGTATGCAAACATTCATCTCCAGTTGTGTACGTGGTGACATGACATCATCAAGCAAAGAAAATGAAGAAATGAGTGCAAAGGAGAACTATACTCGCATGCAATCTCTTTTTGATAAAAAGGTAATCCGTCTCCTTATTTTGTTTTCAATTTTTCTATTTCCTATCTATTTTCTCATTTTTAATCACAACTAATTTATATGTTTATGATCTACTAATAAGGGATGGTTATGTCGTAATTGTAATTGTAAATGAATTCTTCAGGTAAGATTCCCTAGTTTGGAGATGTTTTTAATCAGTCATGCTGATGAGTTGGTAAAGATTTGGGACGATCAGGTTTCTTTGGATTCCTTCTGCAAATTAAATCATGTGGGTGTATGCTTTTGTAAAAGACTTGTAAGTGTTTTTCCATCTAACATGCTTGGGAGACACCAGAAACTAGAATTTTTGGTAGTACAGAATTGTGATTCAGTTGAAGAGATATTTGAAGTGCTTGAGAAAAAGTCTAGTGAGGTGGAGGAAATTGTTGACAAGGAGGAAGCAGTCCCAAGGTTTGTGTTCTCTGAGTTAACCTTGCTGTCTTTGCAGAAGCTACCGAGTCTCAAAAGTTTATATCCAAAAGTACATATTTCTGAATGGCCAAGTTTAGAAGTGATGGAGGTATATGGATGTGATAATGTGGAGATATTTGCTTTAGAATATTTGAGCATCCAAGGGACTGATGGAGAAAGTCAACAACCACTGTTCTTGGTTTACAAGGTATGAGCCCCAACACTCTAATAAATCATGTCTACAACTCTAAGTTATAGGCATTCTAACAAATTTTCTTAATTTTGCCTCTTTTTTATTTAATATCTTAAAATATTATGTTAAACATATTTATTTTTAGCAATGCGTGAATTTTACTTGAAATGTGTTGTATTATTCGTAATTGAAATAATTTTTTTTACTGGAAAACTTTGACGTCATTATCATCATCGATAAAAGTAAGTTCTCATACATCTCTAATCTCATCACATTTAGTGCAACTCACCTATACTAATTATCCCTTCTTTTTGGTTTCAACACTTTCTTTTTGTGATTGACTATTTTCCCAGGGTGCATTCCCTTGCTTGGAAGAGCTAGAGTTACGTGAAATGCCCAGATTGTTGCACCTATGGAGAGGAAATTCTCAGCCTAGCAATGCTTTTCAAAATCTGAAGACTTTGAAAGTAACTGGATGTGGCAGTTTAGAAAATTCATGGTCATCAACAATGTCTTTACAGAATTTGGAGACTTTGCAAGTTTCTAAGTGTGAAGGATTGAGATATTTACTGACCCCCTTAAAAGCAAAAAGTCTGGATCGACTTGAAAAAATGAATGTATCTGATTGCAAAATGATGGGGGAAATTATAACACATTTGGGAGATGAAATACTGCAGGATCCAATTGTTTTCAACAGATTGGATTGTTTGGAACTTCACTGTTTGTCCAGCCTTAAAATCTTTTGTTGTGGGGATTATACTCTTGAATTCCCATCCTTGAAAAAAGTAATTGTCAGACAATGCTTGAAGATGGAGACTTTTTGTCATGGAGTTTTAAACACAACAAAGTTGCAAAAACTACAATTGACAGAAGGAGAGAATGAAGTTGAAGAATGTTGGGAAGGCAACCTTAATTCCACTATACAACGTTTATTCAGAAACAGTATGGTATGTATTGACTCACCAGAATACCTCATACATTTCTATTGTTTAATGAATTGAATTGGTTGAATTCATATTTTCTTTTATTTCCTTAATTCAATGAGCTATGCTTTATCATTACAGAATGTGCGTAGCTCCAAAGAAGCTTGAGGACATTCCTTTAAATAGTTTGTGATACACCATGGCTCCGTTTCCCTCAAGTAAACAGAGACTTTGTTTCTGCCATCTTACTGATATTATCTTCACATTTGGTTGAAGGTGGAGCGCCCTTTGTTTATTCATTTGTTCTGTTGTTTCACTTGTTGGACTTGTATTATGTATTCCAATTTCTCCAAGTTGCCAAACACTTTAGGCAAACAAGACGATACAATATGCAGTTTGTTAATTTCTATGTTGATGTATTATTTGCAATTATATTAAAACAGTAATATTAACTGAACAAAAGCCCTTGCTTACTCCACCTTAAATTTAGCATTTTGAGTACATAATAAAAGAATAAAGAAGAGGGAATTCTAAGCTTTAGATTGAAAGCCTATGTGTCCAATAAAGCTTAAAACAGAGATGAGATGTGACAATATAGATATGATCTGATACAAAAGGCCTTATGATTGGGATACCAAATATTTCACATCTTCATTCTTAAATAAAGGCTTCTATCCTTTAAAGACACCTACACCTCTCTTACTATCCTCCATTCCATATTTCACCTAAACACTCAACTGTGGAATCAAGAAACACAAGCAAAAATGTAACAAAAAGGCTTCCATCTTATAAAGCACTCAAAAGACAGAATATTAAGATGACAATTACGCAAATCAAATTGATATTCAATCTCATATTTAACCCAAAATTCGAGGCTTCTCTTGCTCCATAGAAAATACAAATTAATATGTCAATGACGGCATCTTTGAGTTTGGAACCAAAATAATAATGAAAAAAATGAGAATTCCCAAGTAAACTCATTGGTACACCATTATAACAGCAATCTCAAGTAACTTATGCAGTGCAGAAAACACAAACCCATACAGCCAAAGTCCATTTCCCCTCGAGTGTTCCAAAACCCTGGAGACCATAACAGAGCTCAAGTAAACACTCCATGCACAGCAACTCTGTTTCTAAGTTCCTACAAAAACCTATTATGTCCACCAGAAATACAAGTATGCTCCCACTACTACATTTGTGACACCATTCACTTTTTTCTCAGAAATAAAACTTGAGGTTCATGTCTCCAAAGAGATAAGTTGGCATCAAGTATAAAAGGGATAGAAAAACAGAGAATTTGAAGTTTTAAATGAAATATGAGAATGAAATTGTCTAAGAAATTTGCCTGAATTTTACTAAATAGACAACTGAAAAACATCTATACCAGGAAGTACTACTGTTACTACATAAAAACTAACAACTTTTGTTTATTAACAGCTTTACAGCTAACTGTTGTTATTATTAGCATGAAAACCGCTCTATAACCACCCTCAATGGGTTCTTTTCATCCATTACATCCGAGTTTGTCAAGAAACAAGAGGTTGGTCAAAAGAATTCTACAAATAAACAAATAAATAAAGGAAGCGAATAGCTGTTTAAATCACTTCCATATGTTGTTGAAGATGTATATATCTACACATGTAAGGACAGTTCATTAAATAAAGAAGTATGTATAGAAATGATTTTCCACTTTCTACAATTGATACTAAGATCAGAAGCAGTTACAAGATATAAAGATCAAATACAGATGGCAGAATTAAAATGTAATCAAAACAAACAATTAAAAGTAACATGAGAATGAAATTGCATGTAAGAAAAACTAATGTATCATTTTCTTATGACCTTGGTTATAGCCCTAATAGATGTATTTGACATATATATCTAAGCGTGCAAGGACAACGCATTTGAACACAAAAGTTTTCATTAAAAAGATCCAATTTCTACAATTCAACTAAGCTTACAGACAGAGTAGAGAAACATTTCAAATGAGAAAAATAGCCAAGGGCAACTGTGAAAGCCGCATAATATTATCTCCATCATACATGAAGCGCAAAAGCAATTAAACACAGATCGCAGAATTACAATGAACCACGCAGCAGATATACAATGTGACCATCACAAAACTTTCCAAGAAAATAGTGATACCTTAACAGTTTCATCATTTGAATATGCCTCTGCAACATCACGTAATTTTCCAGTACTGTAGGAAGCAGAAAACTTTCCATCTGCAGCGCCATACTCCCCTAAGACCAGCAAAGGACCTGCAACCAAAACCAGCAATGAAGACACCTAACAGGGATGACCTATCTGGAATATACATCAAAGAAAAGGAAAGCTATATGGGACAGCACGTACTTGAAGAAATACTGAAGGAATCTTTGGCTCTCCAATAATCTGCAAATAGATTCCACCAACTCACAAAAAAATAAATAGATAAATTTCAAGTAGCAGAAGATGATAACCAGAAGAACTGCAAAACTAGAGAATGGATGTTATTGATCTATCCATCCATGAAAATCCAGCTTTTATCAAGATATCTTGCAATCCAATTAAAAGATGCAATAAAATTGTTTAAATGGTAAGTGCATAAAAAAGAAAAAAAAGAAAAAAAAAGAAACTGGACTATTCTCTTGCATATTCAATAAGTTATTTAAATCAATTGGATAATCAGTTCTTCTGGTTTTGAGATAATTTGTCAAATTAGGATCGTTACCCATTTCAATGGCATCTCTGAAACCCCAACGGATCAAAATACATGTAGAAAAATTTGCTGTTTCAATATTCTGGAGTTCAAAGCATTAGATGCTCATTAATTTCAGATTAAAAATATTAATATTCCATAATGATTTTCCTTTTTGGAATGTTGGCTGAATTAAATTTTCAATAATGACAATTGTCCAAGAAGAAATCATAATTGTGTGCAGGGTTCATTGTACATCATTCTAAATCCTAAATTATCGCTGCAACATGCGTATTTTGTGAATGAAATTTTGAATTTTATGAGCCTCTTTTAAACATGCTTAAAACAAACCTGGGGGCCATAAGAGAGCTCAAGTAAACACTCCATGTACACCAACTCTGTTTCTAAGTTCCTACAAGAATTCAAAGGAACATTTATAAATGTAAAGGAAAACAGTTTCATATATCCTACAACCATTTTTATGAATCAAATCAGAGAATAAACAAAGCAAAACAGAGCTCCTCTATTTCCATTCCCCTGTTTTCTGTCAATTTTTCATTAAACAAACATAGTAACTTCAACGTGTGTAATAACAATCTATATATTTAATGTAGGCTGTATAGACCGTTTGGTTGATATATTGGTAAACAATTTTCTATTTATCACCTCAATTATTAGGACTTTGGCAATATGTTATCATCTAAATCTACCCACTACTCATACGGAGTATTAAAATACCTTTGATTATATATAAGCACATTTTCCTACCTTCCCCTTTGTCCTCCCTTCCCCCAACCTCTTCTTATCCCTCCCCTCGTACCCCCACTCTCACCACCGCACGCACCCACCCACCCGACTCCTGCATCCACTCACCACCATCTCACGTGTCCCTGATGATTGTTGTTGATTTGAGTGAAGTGGATTCTGATTTGGGTGGTTCATGATTTTAGTTTAAAGTGTTATTTTGGAAAGGAAGGTAGGGTGGGTGGCCACCGGGGATTCGCTGGAAGATGGAGACGCTGAGAGAAGGAAGAGGTGAGGGGCCATACCCTCCATAGGGTGGTTGGGCACTTGGGCTTGGCGGAAAGGGGACGGGCTGATGAATGTTTGCTGGTTTAGGTTGCATTGACTAATTTATCCCTGTTCTGTCAAAATTAACGAAAAAGAAGTAACGACTATTAAACAGTAGGGGTTCGAGAGTAATTTACACAACTGGAGGGGGTATAAATGTTAGTATTTATAAAATAATAGACTATACTAAATTATATATTCTCTTCTGAATGCAAAAGTGATTTTATAATCAATAATGCTACGGACACCAGACTGTGCACCAAATTCTTATACCGAATTACGTGTTACATGACTCAGATACCGAATTACGTGTTACATGACTCAGACCAACCACGTATCTCATTAACCAATATTTTGTGAGTGAACGATCGTTCATCAGTTATGGACAGTTGTTCACTGTTATTGGAGGGGATTTTATTATATGTGGACATCTGTCTAAGTTAGAGGTGGAAAAGCAACCTGCCCGGCCTGACCCGACCCGGCCCGTGGTGGGTTGCTATTAATGGCGGGTCGGTCCTGACCCACCCGGTAACATTGGCAGGCCGGGTTAACCTTCTTTTTATTTTTTTATTTTTTTTTTAATTTTGTTTTGTTTTGTTTTATTTTGTTTAAGTTTAAATGTTTAATTAACTTTTCAAATGAATAGTTAACAATTTATAAATGAATAAATGTAATTTTTTTTAGTTAATTGTTAATTTCTTTTCAAATATCAATAATTAAATTAAATTAATTTTTTTTTGTTAACATTCCAAATATTAATTCAATTTTAATACATTAAAATTGTAATATAAAAATAATAAAATTTATTCATTTATTAAAAAATAAAATAAGAAATTACAATAATTATTGTCTCATTAAAAACCTCACCAAGAAAAACCCAATGGGACAAAAACTTGGTAAGGAAAAAAGAGTGCAATAATTGACAATTAATTTACAAGTTACAATTTACAAAACAACTAATTTTGGGGTTCACTAGGACCTCCCTCATCCGTATCATCTATATTACAAAATTGAAATGATTCTATTAAAGTATCGTCGACAACCTCGTATTGACCTTGATGGCGCGATCGTTCCCAATCTCGAAGACATGTGAGGACTTCAATCATTTGTGGTGAAAGTTTAGTCCTCCTTTCATTTAAAATTCTTCCACTTGCACTAAATGTTTGTTCGGATGAGACGGTTGAGACAGGAATAGCGAAAACATCCAAGGCAAGTCTTGATAATACCGGAAAAATACATTTTCTGGCTCTCCAATACTCTAAGATATCAAAGTGACCTGTTGAAAACATTTCGGGGGTTGCCAAATATTGTTGAAGTTCATTACTCTGCGACTCCATGGAGGACAGTATATTAGTTGTTGTTGTTGTTGGTGGTGGTGCTTCTGAAGAGGAGGCTGTGCTTCGGATTCGGGTCCTCTTCGGCCTATTCAGTGCATTCCAAGAGTATAAGTCTTCATTTGTTGTTTCTTCTGCTACAGCTTCTCTGGATATTTCGCCTCTTTGCGACTGCGGGTTCCCATACCTGTTTTCATATTGGAAATATACTTCGAAAAGACTATTTTTTACCTCTCCTATTTGATTGACATATGATTCGGTTTGTAAATTTTCACTTAAATTGTCAAAACCATTTTCTAAACGTGCTAATTTAATTCTAGGATCAAATATAGCACCTAAACAATAAAGAAAAGGAATGGGTTCCCAATATTTAAAAAAAAAAAAATTCCATTGCCTTTATTGGTGCATTTAAAATTACATTGTCTTTATTTTTTATAAATAACTCGGAAATTTTTATAATTGTATGTATTACCAATGGACTAGTAGGATAATACACACCAGAAAGTTGTAAAGTGGATTGGTAAAAAGTTTTAAGAAAAGAATGAAATACTTTAGCTATTTGCCAATCATTTTCTACCAAATAATGAGGACCTCTATTATTTGCTACAAAATAACTAATTATATTAGCATAAGGTAAACATGAATCAAGCATTAAATAAGTACTATTCCATCTAACAGGCATGTCTAATGCAAAAGTTCTAGGAGACATATTTGATTTTATACAAGCGTCTTGAAATTCAGCATTTCTTTTATTACTACTAGTAATCCAAGCTAAACAATCTCTAATTCTATTAATATTTTCTTTAATTGTTTTCATACCACTTTTCACAATTAAATTAATAACATGGCATGCACAACGTTGGTGAAAAAACTTCAAATTATTATATAAAGGATAATTACTTTGAAAATAATCTATAGCTTTACTATTAGAACTTGCATTATATAAAGTTAAACTTATCACTTTACTAACAACATCATAATTTTTTAAAACTTCAACAATTTTATTATAAATTTGTTTACCACTATGATCAACATCCATTAATCTAAATCCTAATAAAGATTTATTTAATTTACATTCATTATCAAAATAATGACTAGTGTCACAAATATAATCTTGTTTAGCTCTACCATTCCAAATATTGGCAGTTAAAGCCATACCAACATGACAAGTATGTATTTTATTTTTTAATTCTAATTTCATTTTTTAAACAATTTTATTAAATCATTTCTAGTTGCAGTTTTAGAATAACTTTTAAATTCTGGAAAAAATGAATTTTGAACAAATCTTTCAAAATATTTATCTTAAGCCATATTAATAGGTTGATCAGTTGCAGCAATATATAAAGCTAACTGTTCCCTCTATACATCAGAATTATAATGCCAATTAGTACCCATATTAGTTATTTGAGTTTGATTGCTTTCTCTATTTCCATGTTGATTAATATGTTTATTAGCATGCATTTTTAAAGTACTAGTACCATTACCTGAATCAGCTTTATAAATATTTCCACAGTATTTGTATCTCGCTTTCTTGACTTGAATGCCATTTTCTATCTCGTAAAACTTGTCGAAATGCTCCCAAACGTCTGATGTATGTATGTCTTCACTTTCGACGGCAATTGATGATCCCGCCTCAACTTGAGATGAAGTTGGACGAGCACGAAGATTACGATGACGACTTTTAGAACCACCGGGAGCTATTGGAATCGGGGGCATATTTTGAGGTGTATCGAATTCTGAGAATGGGAAAGCGGGACTATTTGAATCTCCTCCTGCATTTACGTTAGTAAAATCAGCGGGACTATGACTAGGATAATAATTTCCTTCATCATTATAATTGATGGAAGAGAAATATCTATCCATTGTAGTTGAAAAAAAAAATTTGATGTAGAAGAAATAAAAATTAAAGAAAGAGAATTGGAATATGGAAATTGGAATTCGAAAAATTGGAAAATTGGAAATATGAATGAAAAATTGCAAAAACTAATAAAAATTAAAATACGAGCAAATTGATAACAAAGAGATTAAGAGAATAAATGAATAATTGAGAGATTAGAGATTAGAGAATATGAGAGAATGAAAGAATTTGAGTTGTGAGAAAAATGTGAGAGTTTAGGGCCAATTTATAGGAAAAAATGGGAAAGAAAAATGACGAAAAAGACCCCTCCAACGGCTATATTTCAAGGGTAAAGGGGTAATTTGAAAAATAAAATAAAATATTTTATTTTTTTTAATTTTTTTCGGCCAACCCGGCGGGTTGGCTGTTGCAACCCGGCGGGTTGGCCGTTATTCCATAACAGTCAACCCGTGGGGTTGACAATAGCCAACCCGGCAGGTTAGTAGGTCTCTTTCAAAAGAGACAAAACAGCAACCCGCTGGGTTGCGGGTTTCCATTTTGCAACCCGGCCCGCCCGGGGGTTGCTGCCGAGTTCAACCCACTTCGTTACAGGCCGGGCTAGGGTTGACCTGCCTAACCCGGCCCAAATGTTCCACCTCTAGTCCAAGTGAAATGAACGATGGACTCCTGTCCATATTATATGGACGAGAGTCCATTTACTATGAACGGGGATCCACATTTAATGGACACCCGTTCAAACTTTAAATTAAAAAAAGTTTCTAAACAAAAATAGCAAGCCCCTCTTTTTTCTTCGCTCTTCTCTTCGTCTTCATTCCCTATCTCTGCTCTTCTTCTTCGTCTTTATTCCTCATCTGCGCTCTTCTTCTTCTTTGAAGTTCTCATCTTGTTTTATTTTGACGAGCTTTATTCTCTTCTTCCACTGTTATTAAATTAATACTTGATTACTATCAAGAAAGCAACTGAGGTTGGTTTTGCTTTACAGTGGGAATATAGAATCACAAGGAAGAAGGCCATCTAAAGTTTTTATATACTGTTTTAAAACACGTTGGGTTTGTTTCACTTCTAGGTTTTCTAGATTTTTTTTTTTCCAACAACCCATTGAATTAACCATAGAATCGAAATGGGTATCTCAAAACTTTGATTTTTTTGAGCTTAATTTTTATCATCTTTTTTTATTTTTTACTTCTGGGCACCTTTAAAAAATCAATCTTTATGTGCAAAGAAAGCGTCGATTTTGTGGGTTTGGTTTGGTGGTAGGCATGGAGAAGGAAGAGACGAACCAGAGAGCTTGTAAATCATCATCATCAATGGAGCCGGAATTTTTCTTACCGCGGGGAAACAAGAAGAGGTTAAGGGACGGTCGTCCATAACTGATGAACGGGCGTCCTTTCATTTATATACAATTTTTTTTTTTTTAAATTTACAAGATGGATGGGTGTCCATTATATGTGGACGGAGTCATTAAATGTTGACACCCATCCATCAGAGAGGGACGCCCGTCCACTGAATAATGGATGGGCGTCTATAATTTTTTTTTAAATTGACAGTATGGATGGGTGTCCATTATATGTGGACGGGGATCCAAAATTTAGAGACGGCCGTTCATAACTGATGAACAAGCGTCCCTGCATTTTATTTAAAATTTTATTTCTTTTAAAGTATGGACGGGCGTCCATTGTATGTGGCCCCCCGTCCATAGTAAATGTACTCACGTTCATATAATATGGACGAGAGTCCATCGTTCATTTCGCATGGACGGGCGTCCACATATAATGGACTCCTGTCCAATAGCAGTGAATGATCGTCCAAAGTTTGTGAACGGCCGTTCACTCGCAAAATATTTGTTAACGGAATACGTGACCGGTCTTAGTCACGTGACACGTAATTAGGTATAAGATTTTGGTGTACAGTCCTGGTGTCCGTAGCATTATTGTTTTATAATTAAACAAAACAAACACTCAAATAAATTTAATCAAAATTTAAAATTAATCCATTAGTGATTATGTGACAAGTTTTAATAATCTCAAACTAAGCCTTACTTTGATCCTTTTGTTTATAAGAACATGAAACTCTCATCAATTGAGTTGGCCGTTACTCTTGCGCTCAATTTTCTTATAAGAATGTGTACATAAATTCATTCTGATTTTGCCAAATTTCTTCCATCAATCTAAAACTTCTTTGCTCAATCTCTTTCCATATCATTTGAGTTAACTTTTACGTTAATTAGCGAATTAAATAAAGCATGTAACCATAACAATATTGTTAACTAAACCATGGCTTATGTTCTAGTGATTAATTTATGGGAATTAATATTTCCCAAACTATAATAATAAACATGCACTACTTAGTTATATATTGATCATAAATGTTCTCTCTTTATTCAAAGTTCAAGAGATAGTTATAATGAATTAACCATGGACTTAATTATGGAATATGAACATATGCATGTAATTAAACATAAATTTACTATAATTAATAACATAAATAAATCAATCAGACGATCATTAAAAAAAAACAACTAAGTAAACATAGGTGTAATGAAACTTGAAAATAGGGATAAACCCAAAAATTAATTTTAGGATGGACAAATACAAATCGAGAAATATTAGTACAAATACATAATAGTCAAAACAAAAAAACCAAACCAAATTATTATCACATATCGACGTTATAATTGATCTTATTAGAATTGACATGTGTCGATCTATCATAATCTGATAGAATCATCAAATTCTAATGAACTATTCAACCATGAAGGTAGTCAAAGGTGTAGCTCTTTTTATTGATAGAACAAAACTTCATGATCAGATGAACACATTAGATTTCGATTATCCCTTTAAAACATAGCATAAAATTTTGTATAGGACTGGTAGAAATAAAACTAGAAGTTGAATTGAGATGAGATTTATTTATTTAAAAAAAAAAAGAAGCATAAAAATTCATTAACGGATGTGACCAACTAATGTTGTCTTAAGCATCAAAACTAAATTAAAGACAATAGGCTTGTGCCCAGAAACTTTGAGGGTGTCACTGTCCTCTACACAGACACTCAACGACAACTCCAAGAAAACGGAAAACATAAACCGCAGATTGAAAACAGAAACACCAAGAAAACGAAGGTATGGACTTTGATGGGATCTTGGGCAGGAAACAATCATCTAAAAGCAGCAATCCCAGGAAAAAATGGCTCAAGACACGGGAGATGTGGCTAGTGGTTCTCGGTGTGATCCTTCACGCTGTCTACATGCTAAGCATTTTCGATATCTATTTCAAGACTCCTATTGTTCATGGCATGGATTCCGTCACCCCTCGCTTCAAGGCGCCCGCCAAACGCCTCGTCTTCTTAGTGGGTACGTTCTCGAAACTTTTGTAACAAGGTGTTTGCTTGTTTGTTTCTGTAAAAAATGATTTAGAACGTCCTCGTTTTGATCGTGTTAGTGTTTTGTTATTGGAAGTGCATGTGATGGAATTCAGCTATTTCATGTTTGCTTATTTGGGAAATTTTTTGAGTATTATGTTTCTTAATTGGTGTCAATGAGGTTGTTAAAACTGTGCGTTTTGAGCATATCTGTGTTTGCTATTTGTGGTGTTTATCTGGAAAATTTTAATGAGAACAGATTGCCAAAAATATTAAAGGGGTCTTGGAAAAATTTTATACAGCGGATGGTTTACGGGCTGATAAATTTTTTGAGCCGGATTCAGAAGGGAATTTCAGAGCACCATTTTTGAGGAGTGTGATTCAAAATCAAGGTCGATGGGGAGTGTCTCATGCTCGGCCCCCTACTGAATCAAGGCCTGGACATGTTGCTCTAATTGCTGGTTTTTACGAGGATCCTAGCGCTGTAACAAAAGGTCAATATAATATTTGTTTAATTCCTGTAAAGTTTGTGTGGCGAGCAACTTATTGTGTAAGCTAAAGATGTTTTTGTTTGCATTTGCAGGATGGAAAGCTAATCCAGTTGAATTTGATTCGGTTTTTAATCAAAGCCGTCATACAATTTCTTATGGTAGTCCAGATATTGTTCCGATATTTTGTGGAGCCTTGCCACACAGCACCTGGAATACTTATCCTCATGACTATGAAGACTTTGCAACTGGTTCGTTCAGTCACACACTCTAAGCACAGAAAACATACAAATATTTCATTAGGGTTCTTAAAGTCCTTTAGTAAATTTTAGAAGCAAAAAGAAGCTTTCTTAGAACTTTATGAATATAACCATCCTAGCTGGCACGTACTGATATTCTTTCTTCTGCATTATAGTTGACTATTTCTTGGTGTAAACTGGCTTGTGTGTGGAAAACCTAATCTTTACTCATTTACAGGGTCCGAATTATTTATATCTTGGTGTATTAGCTTTTATAGTTGTAACTTTTATTCAATGCTTTATCAATTCGGTAGTGTTAATGCAGATGCGTCTTTTTTGGATGAGTGGTCTTTTGATCAATTTCAGAGCCTTCTTAATAGGTCCAATGAAGACCCAAAGTTGAAGGAGCTACTACTACAGGATAATCTTGTTATATTTCTACATCTACTTGGTTGTGATTCAAATGGACATGCACATCGGCCCTTTTCATCTATCTATCTCAATAATGTGAAGGTTGTTGACCATATTGCCGAGCGTATGTATTCTCTTCTTGAAGGCTATTTCAAGGACAATCGTACATCGTATGTTTTCACCGCTGATCATGGGATGCATGACAAAGGTCAGAATTACTCTACATCATGTTAATTTGCCTTGGGATTTTTCTTACTTCATTTCATTCTAGAAAAAGAAAAATTTAATGTTCCCCTTGGTGGACTGCTTGTTCACCTTTATTGTTAAATTTGAATATATCTATTCCCTATCCCCCCCCCCCCCCCCCAAAAAAAAATTGCTGACATAATTACTGTTTTACTGGCAGGTAGTCATGGAGACGGTCATCCCACAAACACTGATACCCCTCTCGTTGTTTGGGGAGCAGGTGTTAATTATCCCAAGCCATTATCTGGAACAAATCATTCTGATTGTGGTTTTCGTTTTGTCGATGAACATGCACATGACACTCCAACACCTAAAGAATGGGGTCTTGATGGCATTGAAAGGGTGGATGTCAATCAAGCTGATATTGCACCACTTATGGTTGTGCTTAATTATAGTTTTGTTCTGAACCTAATTATGTCTCCATTATTCTTATTGGTCTCATATGCTGATTGACTTTTCTTGCAGTCAACTCTTCTTGGATTGCCATGTCCTGTTAACTCAGTTGGGAATCTACCGCTTGAATACATTAACATGAATGAGGTGAGTGCAATTGATTTCATTGGAAAGTGAGCTTTTCCTCTGTTGTAATTAGTGATTCAAGTGTTGTGGTCAATTTTGAGCTGAAAATTACATTTGTTCCTAAATTATAGTTTTGTTATTTGGAATGGTCTGAATTGAATATTAACTTGTAGAGAAGTAACAGAGATTTTATTTGTATTACAATGGTTAGGCAGAAAAAGTTGAAGCCGTGCTAGCCAATACGAAGCAAATTCTCAACCAGTTTCTTCGGAAATCACGTATCCTCTTCTTATACTGTNGAACTTCCACAGCTCAGCTTCTCCTCTGTCAACTTGCTTCTTAACAAACTCAACACTCCCCCTCAAGTTGACACTTTGTAGATGTCCTTAATGCCAAGCTTAGCAATCAATTTCTCATGCTGTTGCATACCTAGACCTTTAGTCAAAATATCTGCAATCTGGTTTCCAGTTGCAATATATCCTGTTCGTATAACTCCCTGCTGAATTTTTTCTCTTGTAAAATGGCAGTCAATCTCAATGTGTTTGGTCCTTTCATGATACATTGGATTGGCTGCTATTTGCAATGCAACTTTGTTATCACAATACAACAACACAGGTTGTATTCCTTCTACTCCTAATTCATCCAACAAACCAAGCAGCCAAATTATCTTAGATACACATGCTGCCATGCTTCTGTATTCTGCTTCGGTAGATGATCTAGCTATAGTACTTTGTTTTTTTGACTTCCATGATATAAGAGATTCTCCAAGCTTGACACAATACCCACTTACTGATTTTCTACTCATCTGACAAGCTCCCCAATCCGAATCACAATATGCAACAAGCTCCATCTTATTGCTTGATGGTAATAACAACCCCAATCCAGGATTTTGTTTAATATACCTAACGACTCTTAATGCTGCTTCCAAGTGGGACTCCTTAGGTGCATGCATGTATTGACTAAGTGTTTGTACTGAAAAGGCTATGTCAGGCCTTGTCATGGTCAAATAAAGCAGTCTTCCAATCAACCTTTTATAAATGGATGAATCCTTTAACAACTTGTCCTCTGATGTAGGTTGAAATTGTTGATCATATTCGAATGAAGTGAGCTTTGAATTCTATTCAAGTGGAGTCTTTGCAGGCTTTGTATCGGCCAGTCCAGCTTCTGATATGAGCTCTAATGCATACTTTCTTTGACTCATAACCAGACCTTCCTTTGATCTAGCAATTTCGATGCCAAGGAAGTACTTTAGCTCACCAAGGTCTTTTATCTTGAAGCTCCTTTGTAGAACGGATTTCAAGTCAAGCAGCATCTCATGATCATTACTAGTGATTAAAAGATCATCTACATAGACCAGTAAAATGACTATCTTGCTGCCATTCCTTTTAGTAAATAGGGAATAGTCATATTTGCTCTGCTGATATCCATGCTTGATTAGTGCGTCTGTCAGCTTGATATTCCACTGTCTGCTAGCTTGCTTTAATCCATATAAGGATTTGAGCAATCTACAAACCAATGGCTCCCCCTGATTGGGAAAACCTTTAGGTAACTCCATGTAAACTTCTTTAAAAAGATCCCCCTATAAAAAAGCATTACACACGTCCATTTGCATAAGTGGCCAACCATGAATTGATGCTAAAGCCAAGACACTCCTTACGGTTACCATTTTAGCAATCAGACTGAATGTATCAGTATAGTCAATGCCTTCTTGTTGGTTGTAGCCTTTGGCTACAAGACGTGCCTTGTATCTCTCAAGGCTGCCATCTGAGTGGTACTTAGCTTTAAAAACCCATTTATATCCTATGGCAGATTTGCTTGGTGGAAGAGGAACCAAGGTCCAAGTTTGGTTAGCCTCTAAGGCAGCAATTTCTGTCTGCATAGCAGCCACCCAATTGGGATCACGAACAGCCTCTTCATACGTAGCAGGTTCATGGATACGAGAGATAGCAGTGAGAAAGCATTGATAGGAAGGTTGAAGGTGCTTGTAAGAAACATAGTTGGTGATTGCATAATGAGCAGCAGGAGAGATATAATCAGTGAGCCAGATAGGTGGTTTAATAGTCCTAGAGGATCTTCGAAGGACTGGAGGTGATGATACAACAAGAGAAGTATCATGTGTGGAAGAGTCTGATGAATTAAGTGGCTATGGTGAATTGTCACGTGAAAAAAACTGTTGTGGTGCATCAAACGGTAAAGGTTGGTAAGACAACTCAAAGTCCTCAAGATGTACAGGGGAAGGAGAATGATAAGGAGGCAAAGCGGCTGAAGAGGATTGAGAAAGGAATAGAAAAACATGCTCCACAAACTTCACATCTCTGCTTACAAAAAACATGCGAGTTTCCAAATTCAGCAGCCTATCCCTTTTGGGTTGTTGAGTATCCCATGAAAATTGGTGGAGTAGCTTTCTGGGCAAATTTATCTGTTGAGGGAAGATGAGTGGCATAACTGAGACAGCCAAACACCCTAAGATGATCAATTGACGGTGGTGTTCCATGCAACATTTCATAAGGAGACTTGTTGCCTAAAACAAGAGATGACAATCTGTTCACCAAATAACATGCAGTGAGAATGCATTCACCCTAGTATTGCAGTGGAATTCCAGCTTGTATTTTCAAAGATCTAGCCACATCCAAGAGGTGCCTGTGTTTGCGTTCTGCCACCCCATTTTGTTGGGGGGTGTAGATGCAAGAGCTTTAATGGATGATGCCCAAGGATGTGAACAACTCATTACAAGCAGTGTTAAAAAATTCTCCCCCATTATCTGATCGAATGAATTTGATAGAAGCAGCAAAATGATTCTGGACCAGCAAAAAAAGTTTTCGAAGATGAAGTATGGTTTCTGACTTATGTTTCATTAAGAAAATCCAAGTGATTCTTGTATGATCATCTACTATAGTGAGAAAGAACCTATGATGGTCAACGTTGGGATGAGCATAAGGGCCCTAAACATCCATATGCAATAAATGAAAAAGATGAGATGCTCTATTATGATTTGAAGTAAATGGCAATCTGACTTGTTTAGTTAAGGGGCATATTCTGCAATCTGCTACACTTTATCTCATCTCGAGTAAACTTTATTGAAGGGAAATATTTCAGTTTGAGAATAGGCACATGACCAAGCCTTTTGTGCCACAATTCAACAGAAGATAAACAACAATTATTATGTAAAGTAGGAAGATCTTCGGGCACTACAGAAATGTGGAAAACCTTGGAGACAGCAGATAGATGTGGAGGCACAGCTGGTGTTGCATGGTGTTTGAAAGGCAACAAAAAATATAAACCTTCAGCTTCTTTACCAATCCCCTTTACCTTCCCACTGAAGAGGTCCTGAAGTATACAAAAGTCAGGAAAAAAAGAGATGTAACAAGATAAATCTCTTGTCATCTTTGCAACTGAAATCAAGTTGAATTTGAAATCTGGAATGTAGAGAACATTGGTGAGTTTCTGGTCTAAAGCAAGATAATGTGATCCAATATGAGAAACTTTAGACATATGACCATTAGGCAATCGTGCTGATGTAGAAACAGGTGAAGATGCTAAATCTGATAATAGATCAATACAAGGGGACATATGATGACTAGCTCCTGTGTCTAGAATCTAGGATTGTTTTTTACCTAATGAGGATAAAAAAACACTTTATACCTGCCATGTTTACCATTCCTTCTACTGTAGGAGTAGTTGAATCCTTGTTCAAGAGTTTGAGGATCTCTTCATATTGTTCCTTAGAGAAAACCAAAGCAGCAGATCCTGAATTGTTGGGCTCAGCATGATTAGTAGATGGAGCTGAAACAGTATTAACTGAAGATTGAGTTCCTGTAAATTTCTTTTTGGTAAACTTAAAATCAGGAGGATAGCCAATGAGCCTATAACAGTTTTCCTTCTTATGGCCTTTCACATTGCAGTGCTCACAGGTAATATTCCAGTTTTTTTTTCCTCTAGATTGTTGCTGTGACGATGATGATGAGTATAGGACAGTTGATTCTAGGGAAGACTCTGATGTGGTGGATCCTGTTATGCTCATTTGACTCTCTTCTGTCACAAGCATGGAATAGGCTTGGTTGATACTAGGCAATGGATTCATCATTAAGATCTGTCCTCTTGCTTGCACATATGTCTCATTCAGTCCCATGAGAAACTGCAGAAGTTTTTGATTCTGCATATGTTCTACATACGATTTTGACATCTCACATTCACATGTAGGTAGCTGTATGATAGATCCATATTCATCCCATAAAAGCTTGAGGTTAGTATAATAAGTGGATATAGTTGAGGTTCCTTGTGTTAAAGTAACAATGTCTCAATGCAGTTGAAAGATTCTTGAACCATTGATTTTGTCAAATCTCTCCTTTAAATCTTGCCATACCAGATGTGAATTAGAAGCATAGATTATACCACTCAGCAATTCTTTACTTACAGAGTTCATAATCCAAGAGAGCACAATGGCATTACATCTATCCCACTGCTGTTGCAAGCTAAGTGAATTTGTATCTCTTTTACAAGTTCCATCAATAAAACCTATTTCGTTCTTAGCAAGCAATGCAATTTTCATTGATCGACTCCATAGTGAGTAATTTTCTATTCCAATGAGTTGAAAAGAGACTAAGATAGAACCTGGAGTGTCCGAGGGATGCAAGTACAAGGGATGATTGAAGTCCACTGTTGATGAACTTTGATTATTCTAAGATCCAGTTCCAGTCGAGATGCTGCCATTTCCTTCAGTTGCCATTGATGGTTTTTGTAAAACCGAGATTGTTCAAGAGTTTGAGTGACGAAAAGCAAATTAAAAAATTGAAATATTTGACAAAATAGAGCTGATATTTGACTAGCAGATCAGCACCAGATCAAGTAAAAAAAATTTGATGATTGAATAAGGAATTCAGGCCTTAGATCAAAGCTCTGATACCATGTTAAGAAAATGTATTTAGAAGAACTGAAACAAATGAAAGGAAAAGTAATGCTCTATCCTTTATTAACCTTCGACNAGCTTTCAGAAAATCTAAGAAGTTTGGCACTGCAAGGACTTCACTATTTTCAAACTTATGACTGGTTGATGCTGATGTCTGTAATTACTCTTGGCTATATTGGTTGGATGGTCTGTCTTCTTCTCCATGTGCTGCAATCTTATACTTCCTTGCCAGGAAATATATTAAGAAAGGAACCTGCATTCCACCAGAGAAATAATACTAGAAAAGTAATGTCTAAGTAAGCCTGGACTCTTTTAACCTGTACTTGTTATCATTCTTGGAGCTTTTCTAACTTCAAATATTTTTATGATTTTTTTATTTTCATAAATTTTAAGGAGCTTTGATATTCACCTTTAATCACATGTCCATGTCTTATTTTAAGTTTTTTCAACTTTTATTTGCTATCATTTGTCTGCCTTTCCTTTGTCTCTCTTATGGCATTATTCATCATAAGTGTTTGTTGGCTACTACTTAGCTCCTTTTGCTTGCATATATAAACGATCTTACAAAGCATTATTATGAGATTATACTGCAGAGAGTAACTATCAAATGGCATCAGTTGTATCTTTCTTTGCTTTTTATTTATAAAGAAATTACAAGCTAATTTCATGCGTAATAAACTTGTTTCTTTAAACTACATTATATCTTAATTAGCTCATGCTGTGGCAGGTATACCTAATGGGATGTCTATTGTTCGGAGTAATTTGTATTAAATTCATACTGGAACACTCTCCTCCCCTTTACCATGCATATGTAGCAATGACAGTGTTTCTCTGGATGCAAATTCTAAGTGAATATCAGTTTATACTGGCATTGTGGAGACACTTACAGGGGCGAAAATTCAATTTTATTGTTAAACTTCTTGCCATTGTTGCCATGTCAATATTAATTCTTGAACTCCTGGTATGAATATTTAACAAACTTGTAACTTTCCTTCCATTGACCATGATAAAGCGGCAATTTTAGTATTTTTAATGATGTTGATTTGTACCTTCTGCAGGTGAATAGCTTCACTGAGAGAGAGCTCTACACTTGGTGTTTTCTAATTGTGGGGGTTGTAGCTTCTTTTTATCTTTTTAAATCAATTCCATGGAGATCTGGAATACCCATTTTTGTTTGCATTGCATGTTGGTTTTTGTCCGTATTTACATTGATGCCAGCAGAAATTCCTGACAATAATCCATTGGTGTAAGTTGCCTGCCTTGAATATGGTTTGAGTTAATGGCTATGAATTTCATGTCTAATGGGGGTTGCTCAATTAATGTGTTATAATTTTTATTTATTTATTTTGCTTTTGTGAGTGATTATTTGCATAGTCAATCATTTTAAGTATTGAAAAGAGTTGTGGTCTAATTGAAATTGGATTTCTTCCTCACCTTCTCTGGTCAAGTATAGTTATTTAGTGAATGATAAAAACTTGGAGAAAAATAGAAAAACTATGATAACTTCCTTTAGTTCAATGCCATACTTGAGTGGTTTATAATATGTGCATGGTAACAACTTTTGCAGAATTGCAAGTGGGGCAATGATCATCATAATTGGGGCAGCTGCGAGATGGCTAGATTTTCATGCTGAAGGGAAGAAGTATTGGCTAAGTATCTGTAATCATGAAGTGAAAAAATCCAGATTTCCCATACTCTTTTACTTGCAGGTGCCTAGCATGTCCATATCTTAGCTGTTAGAAGTTCTACTATTCTAAATACATTAACAATTGCTCTACTTTCTACATGAATTCCAGGCTCTACTGGTTGGGTTAGCATCGGTGATGGTGTCACTGTCAACTTCTCATAGAACAGAGAACCAAGAACTGCTGCCAGTACACCAGTTGATAAATTGGTTAATTGCTGGTATACATTAGGACTTGTACTATACATAGCTTTTATATAAATTTTTCTTTGTACGACTTTTTCTTATTTGACGTTCTGTTGTAATGTCTCTGGTACTTATTTATATAAGTTCTCTACCACCAATTGACACTTGCTATTTTGTGCAATCAATTATTACTTGGTTATTTGATTTTGCACTGTGGTACACCAAAATGCAAACAAAATAAAACCACATGAGTTTAACCTATAAGTGTATCAAAACTTGATATGCATCTGTGAAATTGTAACTTTCTCAAAGCATTTATTTTATCAGTCAATATTTACCCGATCTGATTGTTTTGTCACAGGTTTTTCAATGGTTCTGCCACTCTTTTCAGAAAATGGCCTCCTTTCCCGACTTACTTCTATATTTCTTGGCTTTGCACCTTCCTTCCTTCTTCTATCTATAGGGTAAATCACATGTTCAAACTACTCATGTCATAGTGCTTTATTTTATTTTGTTGTAAGATACTGTGCTAATTCAAATGTTCCTGGAAATGATTTTGTGGCATTTTCCCCCTTTTCTTGGAATTTTTGCAGATACGAAGCTGTCTTCTATAGTGCACTTGCTCTTGCACTTATGTCATGGATACTATTTGAAAATGCACTTCTCCACTCAAGCGCAGTGAAAAATTTGTCACCTTACACTAGAAATATGGAGGAACATATTATTCTTCAAAATGATAATAGATACTTGCAGCTGTCTGATGTTAGAATTCCACTAACTTTTGTAAGTTTTTCCCCCATTTTTGTCCTCTCTCTCTTTTTCTATTTTAGTATCTATCATGAATGATTTTTCAATGAATGTATTTTCATAGGCTACCATGGCATCTGCATGAAGTAGCAATTTCTTATATACGCAATATGTATTAGATTTAAAATACATAAAAAGTAAAGCCAATTTTGGGGCTATCAAAAAATAAACTAACCCTTCCTTGAAGTTTGACCAAAGTAAGCTCCTTAAGATTTGGCACCATAATTTTGGTGGGGCATCAGGTAAAGATTAATTTGGGATAGGTTAAGCATAACATGGTTGGGAAGTTGATTAGGTTCCAAGGTAGTTTCTCTCATGATTTATGAGTAATGACTTTGTTCAAGGATAACACATTACCAGTGACCATGTGCAAGTTTCTTTGGCATTATTGCTTAGCACCCTTATCATTCGATTAAGGTTTATAGGCAAGAAAAGCCTTTCTTTTGGACGTGAATGTGAGTCATCCAGTGTCTAGTCATGCCAACTTTCATTGTAAGTGCCTCACAAACCAAACAAATAGCTGAGTTAAAAAAAAAAAAAATAGAAGAAAAACTGGAGAGGTAGTGCAACTTAGGGCATATGCCTTGGTTAACTTCTGTTGGTTCAAAATGAGGGATTGCTGAAGATAATTGATATATGCACAAAATTTGAAGTGTTGAAGTTACTATATGAATACACTGACTCTTGTATTTTATCTTTTTAAGTACAACTCTTCTAATTGCCTAGCTGTCAGTTTCAGAAGTTATTGGAGGCTAGCTGTCAGTTTCTCGAGTTTTAGGGGTCTGGATGTCATTAACTCTAAATTTATTTCTTTAACAATATAAAGCCTTGTTATCATCTAAACGGTCATGAAACTATATGGATCTGACATCTGCTTTTCAGATGGTTCTATTCAACGTCGCATTCTTTGGAACGGGTAATTTCGCAAGTATTGCAAGTTTTGAGATATCGTCAGTCTATCGGTTCATCACTGTGTTCAGTGTAAGTAGATTTTCATAGGAAAGCTGCATTTTGATTTCTTGTTAGAACCTTTGATTAAGCTGATATAATTTGCTTTCAATCACAGCCGTTTCTGATGGCAGCCCTGCTTATCTTCAAGTTATTCATACCGTTCATGCTTGTCATGTAAGTAAATTTACATTTTTCTTATCTGATTGCAATCAATGTGCCAGATGGTGTCAAGATTGTTGTTGGGAACTCATTTTCTGTTTTCTTTACAACATATATATAAAATGAGGCTTCCGTGCAAATCACAGTGAAAGTGTTCAATTTTTTGTCTATTAATGGAATAATTTCAAATATGATACAAATTTGGTTTTAATTGTTCCATGGTGACTGCTTATGTGTTGATTACCAATGCAACAGTTATGTTCTTCAATGTCTTTAACAAGCTTAAAATAATTCTTTATTACAGTGGTAGCTATTGAATGATATGTGGCATTCTTGACCCAATCAAATTTCTACAATTAATTTATTTGACTTTGAGCTATATTATAAGAGAGTATTATATTTATGATATGTGTAGTTCTAACTTCTATGAGTGTCTATTGGAAGTGTCTACTTTTGTCAAGATAAAAAAATTTACCGTTTTCTTTTCATTCTGAACTTAAAATGCAGATGTGCGTTCAGTGCAATAACCAAACTACTCCAAATTCCACGGTTGGGATGCTATTTTCTTGTTATATTACTTTCTGATGTAATGACCATCCACTTCTTCTTCCTGGTATGATCAGTGTATTCTTCAACTGGAAATTATTCTATTGTAGAATCAATGTCATTGATATTCAGTTCTAATTCTTGATTATATTTTGCAGCCTTCCACTTCTAACTTTGACTCATTTACTCATAATAAAAGATGCTAACTTAAGTTTTCTTCTTGTTTTAACCCTTTGGTCTCAAAGAAAAATATTCAAGTCAGTAAAGTTTACAATTGGTCTTCATGTTTGTAGAACATTGTCTCACAATCAATTAGTCAATTGAAACTTTTAATTTGGATCATTTATTTATCTTGTCTAAGTCTTCATGAAGTCAAATAATTGTGAGCCTAGATGATTGGGTCATATTGGGAAATTTTCGTAATATTTTTGTCTCGGTCCTGAGAAGTTTGCTTCTTATGCTGATGTCTAACAGGTTCGAAACAAAGGAAGCTGGATGGAAATCGGCAATAGCATCAGCCATTTCGGAATCATGAGTGCCCAAGTTGTGTTTGTGCTATTGCTCTTTGCCCTCACAAATATATACACGAATGACATCCACGTTAGATCGGCTAGCCCTTCTTCTCAGAAAGTAATGTAAGACAAAATTAGTAGTTTTTTGCAGTGAAATCAGCTCTCAGAATTCTTGCAAGGCTAGCACTTACAATTATACACCAATTTTCATGGATCAATAGCAGCTTGCACTCTGCTGAATTTGGACCTAACATATTCTCTTGTAATGGGATTTTCCTGATGTTCCCATTGACTGTACAAGTATAAGCTGATTCTGGCTTTTCCTTTTGGTGTAAAGCAAAAGATAACCATACAAAATGTTGATGCAATGGTGGGCATGTAGTTCAAATTTTGATCCCATGGACTCACTCTAATTTCTAAACGACATTGACTAACCTATTTTTGTATTAGCTTTGGAAATTCCACATGGGTACTTCTTGGTAGTTTCTTTCAACCTGCTTTTAAATGACGATAATGTTGAAGAAAACAGTCTTGAAAACGATTGGGCAAGAATTCCAAACCTAAGAAATGAATTTCTCAACTTGCTCTCACTCTTTTATCTTTTAAGAGATTTAAGTCTTTCTAGTTATCAAGTAATCAACTTTCTGCAGAAGTCATTTTAATAAGAAAAGTATCAATTTTTATTTACTAAAAATTACGACGTGGGTGTACCATGACGGCGTGACCTTGATTGGAACAACTTGTGCAAGAGGGAATATAGAAATAGCCAGGAAGTTTCCTTGAGAACACCACCTTGACATTGGCTCAGTGACTTTACCTAACATCTGTACTGTTTTCTCCTACAAAAACAGAGCTTCATTCACTTCATTTGAAACAAAAGCTCACTCAAAGTTTATTCCAATTCTTGTTGCTGAGTTTCTAAGCCATGTTTCAAAGCAGAGCTAACAGCAAACCAGAGAAGAAGAGCCCATCTCCCTTGTATGTCAAAAACCCACATCCTACTCATGTCATAGTGCTTTATTTTATTTTGTTGTAAGATACTGTGCTAATTCAAATGTTCCTGGAAATGATTTTGTGGCATTTTCCCCCTTTTCTTGGAATTTTTGCAGATACGAAGCTGTCTTCTATAGTGCACTTGCTCTTGAACTTATGTCATGGATACTATTTGAAAAAGCACTTCTCCACTCAAGAGCAGTGAAAAATTTGTCACCTTACACTAGAAATATGGAGGAACATATTATTCTTCAAAATGATAATAGATACTTGCAGCTGTCTGATGTTAGAATTCCACTAACTTTTGTAAGTTTTTCCCCCATTTTTGTCCTCTCTCTCTTTTTCTATTTTAGTATCTATCATGAATGATTTTTCAATGAATGTATTTTCATAGGCTACCATGGCATCTGCATGAAGTAGCAATTTCTTATATACGCAATATGTATTAGATTTAAAATACATAAAAAGTAAAGCCAATTTTGGGGCTATCAAAAAATAAACTAACCCTTCCTTGAAGTTTGACCAAAGTAAGCTCCTTAAGATTTGGCACCATAATTTTGGTGGGGCATCAGGTAAAGATTAATTTGGGATAGGTTAAGCATAACATGGTTGGGAAGTTGATTAGGTTCCAAGGTAGTTTCTCTCATGATTTATGAGTAATGACTTTGTTCAAGGATAACACATTACCAGTGACCATGTGCAAGTTTCTTTGGCATTATTGCTTAGCACCCTTATCATTCGATTAAGGTTTATAGGCAAGAAAAGCCTTTCTTTTGGACGTGAATGTGAGTCATCCAGTGTCTAGTCATGCCAACTTTCATTGTAAGTGCCTCACAAACCAAACAAATAGCTGAGTTAAAAAAAAAAAAAATAGAAGAAAAACTGGAGAGGTAGTGCAACTTAGGGCATATGCCTTGGTTAACTTCTGTTGGTTCAAAATGAGGGATTGCTGAAGATAATTGATATATGCACAAAATTTGAAGTGTTGAAGTTACTATATGAATACACTGACTCTTGTATTTTATCTTTTTAAGTACAACTCTTCTAATTGCCTAGCTGTCAGTTTCAGAAGTTATTGGAGGCTAGCTGTCAGTTTCTCGAGTTTTAGGGGTCTGGCTGTCATTAACTCTAAATTTATTTCTTTAACAATATAAAGCCTTGTTATAATCTAAACGGTCATGAAACTATATGGATCTGACATCTGCTTTTCAGATGGTTTTATTCAACGTTGCATTCTTTGGAACGGGTAATTTCGCAAGTATTGCAAGTTTTGAGATATCGTCAGTCTATCGGTTCATCACTGTGTTCAGTGTAAGTAGATTTTCATAGGAAAGCTGCATTTTGATTTCTTGTTAGAACCTTTGATTAAGCTGATATAATTTGCTTTCAATCACAGCCGTTTCTGATGGCAGCCCTGCTTATCTTCAAGTTATTCATACCGTTCATGCTTGTCATGTAAGTAAATTTACATTTTTCTTATCTGATTGCAATCAATGTGCCAGATGGTGTCAAGATTGTTGTTGGGAACTCATTTTCTGTTTTCTTTACAACATATATATAAAATGAGGCTTCCGTGCAAATCACAGTGAAAGTGTTCAATTTTTTGTCTATTAATGGAATAATTTCAAATATGATACAAATTTGGTTTTAATTGTTCCATGGTGACTGCTTATGTGTTGATTACCAATGCAACAGTTATGTTCTTCAATGTCTTTAACAAGCTTAAAATAATTCTTTATTTCAGTGGTAGCTATTGAATGATATGTGGCATTCTTGACCCAATCAAATTTCTACAATTCATTTATTTGACTTTGAGCTATATTATAAGAGAGTATTATATTTATGATATGTGTAGTTCTAACTTCTATGAGTGTCTATTGGAAGTGTCTACTTTTGTCAAGATAAAAAAATTTACCGTTTTCTTTTCATTCTGAACTTAAAATGCAGATGTGCGTTCAGTGCAATAACCAAACTACTCCAAATTCCACGGTTGGGATGCTATTTTCTTGTTATATTACTTTCTGATGTAATGACCATCCACTTCTTCTTCCTGGTATGATCAGTGTATTCTTCAACTGGAAATTATTCTATTGTAGAATCAATGTCATTGATATTCAGTTCTAATTCTTGATTATATTTTGCAGCCTTCCACTTCTAACTTTGACTCATTTACTCATAATAAAAGATGCTAACTTAAGTTTTCTTCTTGTTTTAACCCTTTGGTCTCAAAGAAAAATATTCAAGTCAGTAAAGTTTACAATTGGTCTTCATGTTTGTAGAACATTGTCTCACAATCAATTAGTCAATTGAAACTTTTAATTTGGATCATTTATTTATCTTGTCTAAGTCTTCATGAAGTCAAATAATTGTGAGCCTAGATGATTGGGTCATATTGGGAAATTTTCGTAATATTTTTGTCTCGGTCCTGAGAAGTTTGCTTCTTATGCTGATGTCTAACAGGTTCGAAACAAAGGAAGCTGGATGGAAATCGGCAATAGCATCAGCCATTTCGGAATCATGAGTGCCCAAGTTGTGTTTGTGCTATTGCTCTTTGCCCTCACAAATATATACACGAATGACATCCACGTTAGATCGGCTAGCCCTTCTTCTCAGAAAGTAATGTAAGACAAAATTAGTAGTTTTTTGCAGTGAAATCAGCTCTCAGAATTCTTGCAAGGCTAGCACTTACAATTATACACCAATTTTCATGGATCAATAGCAGCTTGCACTCTGCTGAATTTGGACCTAACATATTCTCTTGTAATGGGATTTTCCTGATGTTCCCATTGACTGTACAAGTATAAGCTGATTCTGGCTTTTCCTTTTGGTGTAAAGCAAAAGATAACCATACAAAATGTTGATGCAATGGTGGGCATGTAGTTCAAATTTTGATCCCATGGACTCACTCTAATTTCTAAACGACATTGACTAACCTATTTTTGTATTAGCTTTGGAAATTCCACATGGGTACTTCTTGGTAGTTTCTTTCAACCTGCTTTTAAATGACGATAATGTTGAAGAAAACAGTCTTGAAAACGATTGGGCAAGAATTCCAAACCTAAGAAATGAATTTCTCAACTTGCTCTCACTCTTTTATCTTTTAAGAGATTTAAGTCTTTCTAGTTATCAAGTAATCAACTTTCTGCAGAAGTCATTTTAATAAGAAAAGTATCAATTTTTATTTACTAAAAATTACGACGTGGGTGTACCATGACGGCGTGACCTTGATTGGAACAACTTGTGCAAGAGGGAATATAGAAATAGCCAGGAAGTTTCCTTGAGAACACCACCTTGACATTGGCTCAGTGACTTTACCTAACATCTGTACTGTTTTCTCCTACAAAAACAGAGCTTCATTCACTTCATTTGAAACAAAAGCTCACTCAAAGTTTATTCCAATTCTTGTTGCTGAGTTTCTAAGCCATGTTTCAAAGCAGAGCTAACAGCAAACCAGAGAAGAAGAGCCCATCTCCCTTGTATGTCAAAAACCCACATCCTAATTCCTAACCCACATCCTACTATTGCTTGTTAAATAATATTTTTTTTTTCTTGACTTTAAATAAAAAGAAGATTCCAATTTCTTTATTTTATTTTATTGTTTAAACTCTTGATTGCAGATTTAGCAGTGGACAAGAGCTAGCAAACTTGGCAGTGAGTTCTGGTCTATTGGAGCAGTCATGGGCAAAAATTTCAGAGCTTTATAATGAACTCAATCAAAATGAGACAATAAGATGGAGAAGTTATCAAGAATCAAACTTTCTTATCATAGCTTTTGGTACGTCACCCTTTTGGACAACACAGCTTCTTAAAGAAGAAGAGCTGGTTCCATCAACCTCTCTTCCTCAGTTTCAATTCTTATGCTCCAAAAGCAGCTCATCTTTCTCCATCCACAAAGCTGCAGCGACCCTGTTTGGTCATCTCCATGATCAACTTGTTAACCTCAAAACCCAGGTACATCTCTCTGTCTTGCCCTTCCAGTTTTAACTTTTAGCTAATTTTTGTTGGCCTCCCTAAGTTTATTCTAATTATGAACACCCCCTATAGTTTGAGCATTATGTCTCTGACCTCCCTTAAGATTTTTGCTTGCTAACATCTTTGGCCTAGAAATAAAGTTACATACTGATTTTAGTTAAGGATAGTGTACGGCACATGACATTATACTTGATGTCTGATGATATTCTAGGTAGAGCAGTTTGAGGGGCAGTTTAAAGATCGAACTCGGTTAATTATTACTGGACACTCTCTAGGAGGATCTGTTGCTTCTCTATTTACCTTATGGCTATTAGACAGCATCAATCAAAGAGACAAGGAGAAGGACAAATCAGTAATCAAGCACACCCTTTGTGTTACTTTTGGTGCACCTCTGTTGGGTGACAAAGGTTTCCAAGAAGCCATATCTTGTAGCTCATTATGGAATTCTTGCTTTCTCCATGTGGCTGCAAATCAAGACTTGGTCCCAAGATTGTTTATTTCACCGCATAATCCTAATGCCATGGACATTGATTCCCAAACGGGTCCTTACAAGCCTTTTGGTACATTTCTGTTATGTTCTGCATCTGGATGTACTTGTGTTGAGGACCCTGACGCAGTATCTGAATTACTGGAGGCAATGGGCCTAGAAACGGCTGGAATCCAAAATCCTAATGAAGCATGGCAGATATTCGATTACGGAAAACCTGTAAAGTGTCTTATGTCTATTGTAAATATCAAGGGACTTGCACAACTTGGTGAATTGACTGTGGACACACTTCGAGCAGGGATAATTTTGCAACTGGAAGCCATTGGAGTTATCAGTATACAGGTAACTTAATATATTTCCACCTCCTCAACTTTGTACATAATGCAAATTATTTTCCTTTCACGCAGAAGCATAATTCAGATTCGAACCCAAGTTTATGAATTTTACTTGTAATGTTTTCTTAGTGATAGAACCATCCAATTATACTCTCTTAACATGTTCATTGGAGTTCTCTGGATCTCTAACTTCTAGCCACCCCATTGTTGATGGTCACAGCAAAACTCTGGCAGCCGTGAGCTGATTGCAAAAATGGAAAAGGATTGTCTGTTAAAGAAGAAGAAGGCTTTTGACTCCTCCAAGAAACTGAATGACATGAAGATATATGGTCAATCTAGAATGGTATAAGAAGACTTGTGCATCGATGACGAGGCTACTACGATGTTATAGAGCAGGGATCATCACAGAAGGATAAAAGTTTCAGTTTAAGAAACCCTCAACAATACTGGGAAAAAAAGGTTGCTGAAGCGAGAGAAAACCCAGACAGAAGGGCTGCCTTGATGACCCGATGGCTATATGGTGGGACAAATTATCGTAGGATGGTTAGCCTCTTGACATTGTGACTACTACACAAGGGTGTAGAGACTACAAAACTAAGGAAGATCTCAACATTTCATAAGGTTGGAGCAATGGCTAGAGGAAGCAAGAAACAAAATGTGCCAACCAGTTCAACCGACTCAAAGAAACAAAAAGTATCAGCTCTTTAACTAAGATTCTTGCTTTTGGGCAGATGTCGAGGAGGCTTTAATTTTGTGCAAATCACTGAAAACGGTGACCGAGAAATCAAACAATAAAGAATCTGATTAAGTTTGAAGAGGATGTAATGAGCAGATCGAGAATTATGCAGTATCTCCAGAGATTTTCTTGGAAAAGAGCAGCTTTATGCAATGGTGGAGAGAGTATAAAGAAATTATGGGAACTACATATGTTCACAACTCACTCGCTTTATGGAAAACAAAGTATGGCAATGGTTCATAGCTTCTGGAATGAAATATGATTATTGTCAGTATGATTATGTAAGAATGGAACATATTAATGTAGATGTTTGCACTTGTTCATTATACTGCATTGAAACATGCTGTCTATAAAATATCAATGAAGGGAAGTTTCTTCTTTATCTTGCTTATTCATTTAATGTTCCAGATTAAGCTGATAATCTGCTCTATTTTGGCATTTGGATCCACAAGCATTCTAAAAACAGAAGGAACCAAAACAACCAAAAAAAAAAAAAAAAAAAAATTATTGTTTTCATTTTAAAAGCTTTGACCTCAATTGCTTGCAGGAAGAGCTAGTAATTGTACACAATGGTTAATATCAGAGATTTAGCTCACCCTGCTAATTGCATTGATGTTTAGTGTCCCATTACTGATTTACACATAAAACTCATTTCCATTATGTCAGATTACACATTAAATCTTGGCAATTCTCCTACATGTTTGACAGAATTCACCCCAAAAAACTTGATACATAACATAATATGAAAAGAAACCGAAACTTGCCCAAATCATGATCCTTTCCAAATCTAAGCTCTTTCGAGTTTTTTCCGATCTTATAAAGTGTATTTTGTTCAGATAAAGATCAAATAAGGAGATAATACTTGTTAAACTTGTACACAATAACATGTCTTGTTGAAGGTAAACCTGAATTAGGGAGCAACAGAGGGGATTGCGGGTGACAGAATGTGAATGAGCTGTTAATGTCGACAAAACTCTAACCTAAGTTGAAGAGCCACCAGTGGCACAATCCACCACAGGCAGAACTAATAATCTTTGGTATTCCAAATGTCAGTACATTCAGAACTGTAGCATTTATAAATGTTCTGGATGTTGGATGCTTCTTGCTGTTTAATTTTGTGGTTTTGATACTTGACACTTGGTACTCTTCACTCAAGTACATGGAGATTATTTCACCGACACTCTTCTTCAACAGAATCACTCATTTGCAGGTTAAAGCAAGTTTTTATCAGATTGATTTTGCATGCAGAAACAGGTCTTAAAAGGTGGGCACATGCATGCTTAACTTTTCCAATCCTTTCAGTTAAACCCAAAACAAATAATTTAATAGATTGTTACAAAGAACATGAAGGGCGTTAATGAAGGCTAACATGATGTTTCATGTGACATTACGAAATATGCGCCAAAGGAACCGTTCCTATTTGTTGCACCTCTCTCACTTAAACCTCTTGGAACCAAATGAGATTTGAATACAAGTTTTTCTCAATAAATGGGTTGGGTAGAACCCCTCTCCAATATATCACGACAACTTACTAACTTAACGATATTCAACTTTTAATACTTAATCCCAAAAGGTTGGTCTGGCAGTCGAGAAAGTTTACTTCATTCTTTGAGTTATTCGGTTCAAATCTTGGGATCACCTATTAATATTATGATTTATCTAATTCTTTAAGCTTGTAGGGTCTTCAGTGAATCTCAGTTTTAGGAATTAACTGAAATGCAGCGTAAACTGATCCGAACACCCATATTACCCAAAAAAGAAAAAAAAAAAAACTGATCCGAACACCCATATTACCCAAAAAAGAAAAAAAAAAAATTAACCCCCTTAACCACAATCTAAATGTAATTCTATTGGATGGTTGAAAGAAGGATAACAATATTCTTAGAATAATACAGTTATAATACAGTGGCCCCTCTCCATCCTCTGAAAATCCAGTTTTTTCCCACTATATAATATAACGTATCAGAAATAGCCATGCCCAGAATCATATTCATCATGTTATTGTTGGTTTTTAATGCTTAATTGAGCTAGTCAAACACTAAGGGTAAATTAATGCATATTTACATGATGATTAATTATTTAATTCAATTTATTTCCGAAATTCATGTAAGCCAAACGCGGCTTTAAATTCTTAAGCTTCCATCTAAAAAGTCCAAACGCCACCGTTTGAAGTGGGCCCTTATCCTTACAACACTCATCCCGTGATTGGTGGAGCAGACACACTCTGTCTCTCTTTTTCTCTCTCTCTTCTGTCATACACACAACACAGCGCTATACCAGTTCAATAAAAACTTTTTTACTTTGCAAAATACCCCCCACCACTACTCACATCTATCTCACTCTCTCCTTCCACTACTTATTACTCCCCAAGCATTTCTTTAACTCCTCCATTCTCTCTCCCTCTTTGTCTTTAACTCCACCCAAAATGGCTAAAGCTCCATCGCAAGCGCCGCCTTCATTTCTCTACATCCTCATAGTCCTCACATTCCTTGCCTCTGTTTCAGAATCAAGGCCCAACATCAACTACTACGCCAAGTCATGTCCGAGATTCAACCAAATCATGCAAGACACCATCACCAACAAGCAAATCACCAGCCCCACCACCGCTGCCGCCACCCTCCGTCTCTTCTTCCACGACTGCATCCTCAACGGCTGCGACGGCTCTGTCCTTATTTCCTCCACCCCCTTCAACAAAGCCGAGCGTGACGCCGACATCAACCTCTCCCTCCCCGGCGACGCCTTTGACGTCATTGTGCGCGCCAAAACCGCCCTTGAGCTTGCATGTCCCAACACCGTCTCCTGCTCTGACATCCTCGCCGTCGCCACCCGTGATCTTGTGACGATGGTGGGCGGACCGTACTACAATGTTTTGTTGGGCCGCAAAGATGGGAGGATCTCGAATGCTAAGTATGTTGAAGGTAATCTTCCGAGACCAACAATGCCCATGTCTCAAGTTATTGATCTCTTTGCAAAGAGAAATTTTTCAGTTCAAGAAATGGTAGCTTTGAGTGGAGCTCACACTATTGGCTTCTCTCATTGTTCCGAATTTTCTAGTAATATTTATAATTACAGTAGAACTCCTCAGTATGACAATGATTACAATCCCAGATTCGCACAGGCTTTACAGAAAGCCTGTGGGGATTATAAAAATAATCCGAGTTTATCTGTGTTCAATGATATAATGACTCCGAACAAGTTTGATAACTTGTATTATCAGAATCTTCCCAAGGGATTGGGGCTGTTGGAGACGGATCATGCATTGTTTAATGATGCGAGGACTAGGCCGTATGTGGAAGTGTATGCGAAGGATCAAAATCGGTTTTTTAAGGATTTTGCTGGAGCAATGGAGAAGCTTAGTGTTTATGGGATCAAGACTGGGAGGAGAGGTGAGATTAGGCACAGGTGTGATGCTTTTAACTGAGAAAGTTTTGAGCTTGTGAGGTTGGCTTTTTTTTTTCTTGTGATTGTGGTAATTAAAGTGTATTGAGGAATAGAAGATGATTTTTGTTCTGAATTCTTTGTTCTTTTTGGTGGTTATCAGGGTCTAATTTTATGTATACAAGTTCAATGTTTGTACCAAATTATCATATTAAGAGTAATTATACAGGTTTGTTATTAATTAATCTTCTGTTTTCTGGGTTCTGTTCTTCCTGTTAATGGCTCAACTGGGTTCCATTTCTTTGAGCAGAAACATTTGGTGTGTTGTTTTTCATTTATCCGAGTGTCTATGGAAACAAGAGAGATTAGATTAGATTATAGTAATTGGATTAAAATAAGAGTAAAGGACTGCTGAAATGAATGAAAAGATGCTTTTCTTGTTTTGATAATAGTGAAGCTTAACTACTCTGTTGAATTTTGTCTCTTCTTTGTGTTTTTCCCCTGAATTAGTTTAAAAGTTAGATCTCTAAGCAATCAATTGAGTAGCATGATCCATAATTAATGTTCCCTTAGACATTGTTTAATCTCTTGGGACATGTACTTTCATAAGCTGGACCCTGCCAGCCATGTGGGTTGTTTGGTTTCTTTGATGCAGAAACTCACCATTCAATGAGACCTCAGATGTAACCTGTTTGCGGGTTGAATGATTGAAACCATGAAACCATGAAACCATGAAACCCTGAATATAACTAGAACTAGTTCTTCTTCTTCTAAAATGGGTTCTTCTCTGGAACCAATATATCCTTTTGAGCCGAGATTGAATCGATCATCAGAAGAAAAATTAGGCATGAAAAGATGAAACTAGGACCAGAAAACCATGTCTCGAATCGTTTGATCAGGAAATTAACAGATAGCCTTTGAATCCACCTCTACCATGATAACTTTTGTAGTAAAGTCATCAACAATCCTTCAAAATCTCCACCGACCTTAGTTATTACAGAAAACTTTCCACAACCATAACCACGACCACCATCTCCATTAATTAAGTTAAACACATGTTAAATTACAAGTATGAGAAAACAGACATTAACGAATCTTAAATGTGATGATTAAGTGCTGTTTCTATGAGTAACATACTTAATGATCATTAATAAAGTTGAGCTGTATTTGCAATAATTGTAATGTTATTATGATGGTTTAGTACCATTTTTATTGGGCTAAGGAATTGCATTTTAATTATTGTTCATGAGAAACCATGAAGAACTCAAGGTTTAAGTTTTGACTGGATTGCATCAGACAGCTAGATTAAAGCTCATCTACTTTAACAAACTTCCGATATTTGAAGCTGTCAGGTCGATTATTATGCTACCAAAACGCGTATGTAAATGTAATAGCTAAAGATTTCCATGTTTTGGAATTTGTAAATTTAAAAACAAAAAAAAAAAAAAAAAAAAAAAAAAAAAAAAAAAAAAAAAAGAACGAAATGGTGGGCTCTGGTAACATGGGAGCTTAGAACACGACACTTTTCGCTTTCGGCCATTAGCTGCAGGACTAATTGAGTTTGTTTTTTTGTTAAGTGGGCTTGAAGATTTCAGTTTTATTACCATTTGGTTCATCTGAAACTTGCTGCCAACGACTGAAATAGATTTCCAGAAATCCGCAGAAAAATTGTAGCTAACTATCCCAAGTGAGAGCGAAATTATTCTGATTAAGACGAGCTTCTAAATATAACCATCATCTCAGAAGTGAATGAATCCATCAGGGAAAGTGTTTTGAATATGATTTCAACAGAAAACTAATGCCCACCATAAGAAAAGTTTGAAAAAATATTTATGATTCTCCCACATCGCTGTGTTAGAGTTGTATTTAACCTTTATATAATTTGGACTGCTGCTACTGGCAGCTCAAATTATCAAGTTGAAACTCAAAAAACTCAAACACCTTAATAATTTGAGCTTTTTTGAATAATTATAATTTTATAATCAAGTTTATTTTCATTTTGATATATCCTTCTTTCCATTCCATTTTATTTTCATGGAATAACTATAAGTAATTAAACATTTATCTTTTCTTTGAGTTTTTATTTCTTCTTCTCCTCATTTTATCTTATTCTGAGATTGTAGCCAATTTCAGTCTAAAGTCACAGCTGTTTGAAGAATTATTAGCACAAATCTTTGTGAAACTACCCATCAAGTCCTTTCTTCGTTGGTATGTGTATCAATCATGGCGTGCTCTGATCGATACCAAGATTTCATTGACAGGCATCCACACAATCATTAAAACCAGCCGCCTCATCTCATCTCATACTCGCCGCTGGCACCAACTCCAATCTCTACGTTACCCGCAGATTTTGATGATCAGGTTCTAAACAAACAACTAACACCAAATTTCAAGCTCCTATTCGCATTAAAATCCGATATGATATATTGGGTTCATGCAACGGGCTGCTTCGTCTCGCAACTCGTCAAGTTTTCATTTTGATCTTAAGTTATGGAACCCTTACAATGAGGTGAAATATTTACCAGCTGCACCTGCAGGATTTGAGAAATTATTTTGGCTGTAAACGGTGGCTTACTCAGATTTGGCCATGATAATGGAATAACGAGTACAGATTGTAAAAATCGTTCGACTCTTACAATTCAAACGATGGCTTCCAACGTAACCCTATTGCGAGTGAAGTCCATGTTTACAGTTCAAAATCCATTCATGGAGAGGGTTCAAGATTTCCCTTACAACGAATTTTTGTATGGAGATCAGAAGGGAGCTGCTTCGTAATGGAGGAGCATCACACTGGTCAATGTACACGTAATGGCGAAAAATTAGAATGGTCTGTTGCTTTTGATCACAGGGTTGAAGAATTTAGAATTGTACCTGTCCGAGGGCTGAAGCAGAACATATTCATCTAGAGAACGTGAAAGGGAGGCTATGTATTTGCGAGGAGATTTACTTGAGTTATGTGGAAATCATGGCAGAAATTGCATTGGTTAAGCTACTGGAGTTTGGTAAGTGGCTTCTTGAAAATCTGAATCCATTAGCAATAACTGAAAATGGAGACAAACTTTTAGCGCAATCTGGTAAAAACTGTCTTGCATGGTATAATCTCAAGGAGTAAAAGAACTGCCTATATAGATTTCAAGACAGTTGCAGCTGCAAGTATTTCACAATGAAATTTGAGGATCCATATCTATCAAACTTAGTAGAACATATATATTTTGCAGTGAAAGATTTTTAATATTATTCTCTTATAAATAAGGTATTACAGAAAGCTAACCACAACCACCATCTTCATTAATTAAGGTCAACACGTGTTAAATTACAAGTATGAGAAAACATCATCCAAATGATTCTACTAGATTTAGTCAACAAACTTTTGCACCAAACTTCCACCTAATGTACTGGTTTTTGTTCGGTCGAAAGCTCAATAAGTACTACCTGGAAGCTATAAACTCCACTTTTCTCTGTGAACTGCCTTGATTGAAAATACTTTTGAGTCCATGTATCCAACGTCCCCATAACTGCTTTGTGGTCGCATGAGTTTGATCAATCTATGGATTTTGAATTCCCAAAATCTGCTACCTTTGCTCTATACTTTAAATCTATGAGTATATTTGCAGACTTGAAGTCTTGATAGTAGATGGGCATGGAAGGTGTCGACTGCAAGTGAAAAAAGAGCGTCTACAAATTTTGTGACAATGCTTAAGCGCATATCCCATGTGAGTGGAGGAAACTCTTTCTTTGGATCATGAATATATTCGGAAAGAGTTCCATTGCGAATATGATTGTTATAAAATAATCAATTATTATATTAGTAATTGTAAATAATAAATATATTGAATATAAAAATAATATAACTAAATGTTAATAAAATAAAATAATAATACAATAAAATTAATAATACCAACAAGGTAATTACGTGTAGAAGATTCTTTAGAATGATAGGAAGAGATCTGGTAAAGAATACAACATTAGGATGAATGCCAAGGCTTGTGTAATACATAGTTTTCTTAAAATAGATTCGCCTCTTTAACTGGGGTGTACAAGGGTTTGAATAACGTTTGTTTCCCATAATATAACAACAGATGAATAACAAAAGAAGCACTACTTTTCTATTCTAACGAACACTACAAGGAAACTGGCATTCTGCGTCTAGCAAAATTAGACGCAAAAAGTCACATTTAGACACTAAGCCATTTTTAACGTCTAAATTTGGTAGTCGCCCTTTAATTGCAGTAGGCTGGTTGCAGATTCATAGCGCGTCTAAATTTTGGTTTAGACGCGAAAAGTTTTTTTTTAGCGACTAGCAAAATAATCGCTAAATGCTTGTTAAATTAGTCCCCCAACTTAAACGCTAAAAGTTCAAGGGTAATTTGGTAAAATTGTATAGTGACTAATCAATTAGTTGTAAAATGTACCTTTTAGTGTCTAATTATTTGTCGCGAATACCACAAAAATTAGACGCCAAAGGTGTAAGGGTAATTTCGTCAAAGGTATTCGCAACTATTTTATTAGTCAATGAATGTATCTTTTGGTAACCAAAATTTAGTGGTTAATTATTATACTTTTAGACGCTGAATGTAAAATCCAAACGATTTTTCGCGACTATTTTATTAGTGGCCGAATGTATCTTTTGATGACCAAAATTTAGTAGTTAATTATAATTATTTTAGACGCTAAATGTGAAATCCAATAAGTTTTTGCGACTATTTTATTAGTGACCAAATGTATCTTTTGATAACCAAAATTTAGTAATTAATTATAATCATTTTAAACGCTGAATGTGAAATCCAATAAATTTTCGTGACTATTTTATTAGTGGCCGAATATATCTTTTGGTGACCAAAATTTAGTGGTTAATTATAGTCATTTTAGACGCTGAACAACTCAATTCTGGAAATAACTTTCACAAGTAAACAAAGAACTAAATCATAGAATATATAAGAAAATAACACTATAAAAGGCTTTCATATTTACTCAATTACATTAGCAGAGAACAATGGATTGAAATTTCTGAATTTCATAAGACACCTTATTAGTTACTATGTATCATCAAAATGTCAAGAATAATATACAATTGAACAGGATTTAATGGAATATAGATAAAAAGAAAAGGCTTAATGCCATCTTAAAGCTTGCTCAGAAGCACCAATGTATTTGTTCAACAGCTCAGGCCCTTTCACCGATATAAATCGTAAAGAACAAGCAGCAGCAGCACCAACAATGTGAGTTTTGCCGCAACCAGGAGGACCATATAAGAGAACATTTGACCTTAAACGTAAAGGAGCTTTGGCAAAGATATTTGGAAACTTTGAAGGCAATTCAATCATCTGACAATTAAATATAGAATTAGCAACAGATATATGATACAAATAGACAAATGGATTTTGTTTTTTCCTTTTTATAATCCAAAAACCCCTCGGCATGAGCACCAAGTTCAGAACCCAAACTATTTACAACAACCTTTAGTTGTTAGAAAACCTAACAGATATAATATCTTAAATATGTGGTTCCAAGAGGATTTAAACCAGTGACATCTTGTAGATAAAAAGTAGGACTATTAAACCAACCCTTGCATCTAGCAAAACTTTTCAGAATAGTTGCTCATTCAACTTGGAAGCTAGAAGCATCTAGCTCTTGACATTTTGTACATTACACAGGACATACTAAAAAATTAACTCCAAAAACAGGAACTTTTCTTAGTTAAACTGTCAGATGTTAGAAGAGACTGAATGCACTGTTTATCATCAAAGATTTTTCAATGAGTACTCAACTTTGATGAACTGATTTTTCAAGCTTAAAATCTAAAGCGTACAAATGTACACTCCAATAGGGTTCATACTTCAAAAGGTCCAATAAGCTATCAACTCAAGGAAGCAATAAAATATCAAAATGTTCTGAGTTCAAAGGAGTTTTATTAGCCTTGCATTTCTAAGAAGATCAGAAGTAAAAGAAATAATACCTCTTTGATCGCATTCCGAATGTCATTAAGACCACCAACATCATCCCAACCAGAGCGACCACCTTCAGGAGAAGGTTTACTAATGTCTCGCATAGCAACTGGAAGGAAATCATGCATAGCTTGAGTAAAGTCATCCCTAACTAATGTGGGATGAATGTTCTTTTCACCACCAGAATCGGAAGGCAGAAAACGGCCAACAGCAGCATGAACAGCTCTATCAACCAATATTTCCTGAAACATTGTTATTCCTTTATCTTAAAAATGCAGTAGAAAACAAAGGTCAAGAAATTCATTAAAGAAGAGGGCAACAGTAACATGTAATCTCTTATCTTTAACCATGATAACAACTAATTTAAACAATCAGTGGTAACACCAAAGACAGTTGCATCACTAGAACAAAGTGACTATGGTAGAAGAATTATGTATTGAAAATTAAAAAGGATTTTGAGTAGAACTTCTAAATAACACAGATAGGATTTTGAGTAGGTTTGCTTCGTCCAGTCAAGGCATTCCTCTGCTATCGCAGAGGGATGGGCAAGCTGCCATGAGTTTTTTTTGCTGTAAAGTAAAGAGTTAATTAGCATTTGGAACTTGAAACCTTTTTACTTTTTGGGTCTTAGATGCATAAAGATTGCCTTACCCACTCCCTAATAAGTGGCCATCCAGATTTAAGCTGCAAAACACTCATAATCTCTTTCCCATTAACCAAAGGTTTCACATCCCACACTTTCTCAAGACCTGCACATCCGAAAAACAAAAAGTATTATTCACCCCAAAGTTGTACCCACAAAATGATGAAACCTTTTTTAAATTCTAGCGATGAAGGGTCATACATTGCTTCCAATCTTCCAATGGTTATTTTCAACTTCAGTTTAACCATATTCTAAAACCAATCTAAAACATTTTTTGTACACCAAGCTATCTTACCAGCTATCTAAGTTGCTAGCAGGGTACTCACATCACTTCAAAAACAGTGGTCATGCTTAAGGATCAATGATTTGTATTTCTTGAACCTATGTGTTACAGAAACAACATAAAAGCATATGTAGTTAACAGTTCTATAAAGGAGAATATACAACAGTCAAGGAATCAAAACTACAATAATAGTATTTTTCAAATATATAGCTTATCAATTGCAGTAAGTAAAATTGAAAAATTAGAGCAGAACTGCATCTTCCAAATGAATTCAGAATTTATATAGAATTTTATTTTTTTTAAATATTTTTAATAATTATCAGTTACAGAAAGGTTACTGTAAAGGTCGAGGGTTCAACTCCCCTCGCAGAAGCTAAAAGTTTCACTAGTCATAGCATTTATCAATCCATTATGAAATAACACCATTTACCATCCATCAAATCCAAAATAACTTTTGCAAGATTCAAACTTGCCTTTTCTATTTCCTCCTCAAATGCTCTCTCCAGCTAATTTGCCTTGCGTCCATCCAGAGCACTCCACAGTAAACCTTATTCTAACAATCCTTCCTCTAAAGCTTTTCCAAGAAAAAAAAAAAAAACTCTAAAACCACCTTCACAATGCTCTTATCATCTTTAATAATTTGACTATCACCAACATCCAATATGTTTAATTTTGGATAATATAACAGGCTAATCCATGGTTTCAACAAAATCAGCACCTCCTACCTTTAGGATATCGTTAACTTGTACTGACAACTTCCCAACAAAAGTTCTTGAATTCACCACACAAACAATGAGAAAGAATGAAAAAGCCAACCTGAATAAACTATTCCAATATGGGTTGTGGAAGATTCCTATATGCAACAAGGTAGAAAAAAATGAGATTTTGAAGGGATAATTTATAAAATAAAACTGAAAAGGAGGCCGATTGAGAGAGAGAGAGAGAGGGAGAGCCGTGTGTAGAATACACACACCAATCTTTAAGATTCATCACCTATTTTTAATCTCTAAAAACTCTCTGCCTTATTTTTCTGGGTTCAGAAGTAAAGCAGTAGGGTTTTGTAATGTTTTATATGTGGTGTGGAAAAATGGAGAAGAAGATGTGAACAGAGTGGAGAAGTGGAGAGTGTTTGCGTTTTAGGGTAAAATTAGGGTTTTGTAATGTTTTATATGTGGTGTGGAAAAGTGGAGAAGAAGATGCGAATGGAGTGGAGAAGTGGAGAGTGTTTGCGTTTTAGGGTAAAATTAGTTTGGGGATTTTGTATAAGTGGTTTATTACTTTTTAATTTTTTTTTTTTAATTTTAAGTTTCAAAAATTTTTGTGCAAAATTGCTTACTTTTTTTTTTATGTTACCCTAAAACCGGGTTTGGGATTTTGTTTTTCTTTAATGGTAAGGATTTAGGACTTTTCAATTTGTTTACTTTTTAAATTTTAAGGAAAAATTGTTTACTTTTTACTTTTTGTTTTTTAAAATTGGAAACTCAGTTTTTTGTATTTTTGTGGACCACAATCGAACGGTTTCCCAAGTAAACGAAAAATTGGTTCAGTTCTCGGTTAGGTTCAGTTTCTATATTTTTCTAAACACCGCTACATTTGGGTGTTCGGGATACGCCTTGCCAAAACTCACTGAAGTTAACAATCTCCATCGAAATAGGCACGGAATAAGCACCAGAGTCAGTGAGCGAGTCATTATCTACTGAATGAGAGTAGTAGAAACTAGAACTGTTGTTCCAGTGCCGGAAGCAGGTCAACTATGAGGGTTTGTACAAATGAGTGAAATAGCGGTCAAGCAAAAGTTTTAGGGAAAAATGATAATGTTAGATGAAAAAGAAGACAAAAAAGAAAAAAAAAATTCAAACACGATTCGTTTATTAGTAACAATAAACGAATTTAAAATACTCATTACAATTATAATACCCATTGTAATGTCAGATGAAAGAGAAGACAAAAATAAAATCACCCATTACGAAGTTAAAGCCACCCATTTAGGAACGTCACTAACAATAGATGCTTAAACAAATTAAAGCAAATGTTGTGAAGAAACGGATTGAAAATCAAACAATAAAATTGAAATACCATCTATAAAAGAATGAGCTCTGACATAAAAATAAAAAATAAAAAGTTACCTTCAATGGGGTAATGTAGGTGGCAAAAGTAGAATCAAAGAGACGGTAATGTAGGCGACAAAAGTAGAATCAAACAATAAAATTGATTTTGGTTAGTAGTAGTATATATTATTTTAATAAACAATATTTAGTGGCTAACATTTTGGTTGCAAAAAAATCCTATTAACAACTATAACTTTAGTTGCCAAAATAACATACCCAAAATTTCAATTTATTTCAAGCGGGAACATGGGGCCTTCAAAATTTACCATACATTTGGCAACTAAAATCTTAGTTACCAAAAGAAGATAATTTATTTCAAGTGGGAACTTAGGGCGCTCAAAATTTACCATACATTTGGCAACTAAAATCTTAGTTGCCAAAAGAAGATAATTTATTTCAGTTTATTTCAAGCGGGAACTTAGGGCGCTCAAAATTTGCCATACATTTGGCAACTAAAATCTTAGTTACCAAAAGAAGATAATTTGCAACTAATTAATTAGTTACGCAATAGTAATTTTAGTCACAAATTAAAATAATATTTTTTTATTTTATTGGGAAAGTTGGGTTAAAAAAAATTCATCAACTTTTAGCGACTAAATACATTTTAGTTGCTATACATGAGTTTTTGCAACTAATTGTAATATACACAAAATAGTTAGTTGCCAAATGTACCCTGACCCCTTTGTAATTATTGTTAAAAGCTTGGATATTTTGATAATTGTATTATTTTGTAACTAATAAAAATAGTTACAAATTAATTAATAAATATTTGCATCTAATTTAGCAACTATTTAGTAGTTGCAAATAATTATTTTCTGTAACCATAATTTTAGTTGCAGAATCCCTTGTTATAGTTGCCAATTTTGTTCGCGCAAGAATTGACAACCAAATAAATTAGTCGCTTATGTGATATTTTGGGCAACAAATCACATTAGTCACAAAATATTAATTTTAGAGACTAAAGGCGGGAATAAAATTGGCCATAGAATTTTATTCCCTTTGGCCGATTAATTGGAATTTAGTTACTAAATATGGGATATCTGCAACTATTTTTGTCTAGTTGAAAAAAAAAATTGGTTGCAAAAAGTACTTTTTCTTATAGTGAAACTGAATTAAGTCTTAACTCCAACAAAAGACAACCTCCAACAGAAGAAAACCTTAAAAAACTAGAGAGAAAATAAGAAATTAAAAGAACTCCTAATTTTTTTGTGTTAAAAATGGGAAAAAAAATCACTTTTTTAATACTACTCATCATTAAATTTATTTAATATATTCCAACAATTTTATCATATTTAATATATTCCAACAATGATATCATAACCCAGCAAAGGAACCTCGGTCTCCAAAAACTACCCTAATAGCTCATTAACATTCCTATGTTTTATTTTTGAGAGAATCAAAAAGCTCGTTACCGAATTCTTGAAGCTTTTCGGCATCATCACTAGGATTACAGATTACTTTTCCTAATTTCCATTTTGACTAGGATCACAAATTATTTTTTGCAAGTCTAATTCCTAGGTAAACCCAAGTCTGTAATACCTTTTTTCCTAGAACTAAAATTTTCCAACATTTTATCCGGTTGTCCTATGAAACTTGATTTTTTTTTTTTTTTTTTTTTCATGTTCCTTTAGCCAGTTGAATGTGAGGATTCCAACTTAGACCTTTGACTTTTTTACATGATCAAAGTTCTAAGTTAGTAGGTGAAGACTCAATATTATATTAGTCTAATACTAATAAAATTTAAGTACCCAAAAAATTAATATATGAAGCATGTGAGAGCTCAGACCCACACATAGACTAATTAATCAGTCAAGTATGCCGGCTGGTCGAGTATGTGGTTGTGGTTCTAGGAACTTGGATAGAAATATCATAAAGATGGAATCTAAGAAGATGCAAGGAATTATCATCGTTTTTCCTTTAATTTAATATTGTAACAAGGACGACGACCTCGTTTTATATCCTCGAAGTCAATAGTTAAGAATCAAAATAGAGGAAGAAGGTGAAGCAAATAATTGATCAGAAAATAGAGGAAGAAGGTGTGAGAGACTGAAGAATGATTCTGCGGTTGCTGTTTCAGATCATCTTTCTATCATGGCCAATGATCTCGAGGACACAAGCACAAGCATTAGTAAAGCCTGGTTGTCCATCCAAATGTGGAAACGTTCCCATTCCATTTCCATTTGGCATAGGAGAGGGTTGTTACATTGATGATTGGTTTGCCATAGACTGCGACTCTAGTAATAAGCCATTCATCAAGAAAATCCACTTGGAGGTGCTTGAAATTTCTCTAAAAGGTACCGTGCGAGTAAATCATCGAGTATTAAGCACTTGTTCTGACGATTATTATTCTCCTACTTTGCCATATGGTAACTTGCTAGCTGAAAGCCCTTTTGTCTTCTCTCAAGAAAGCAACAGATTCACCGCCTTAGGTTGCAACAACATTGCCTATATGAAAGTCTCTGAATTTTCGATTGTTGGTGGGTGCTTTTCTACTTGTCCTGACAACAAGACCAAAACCGGAGAGAATGGTTGTTACGGCATAAAGTGTTGCCAAACCAAAATTCCTTCATCTCTCAAGGTATTTAACACAACTATAGGTACCTTTAATGGTGGACGAAATAGGAACAATATTACTGAATGCGGGTATGCCTTTTTGGTGGACCAAAATTGGTTTGAAAAGAATCATCAAAATATTGAAAAAATGACACAAGTTCCTGTGGTATTGGACTGGGGGATATTCAATTCATCGTTTAATCTGCTTCCAACACATAAACAGAAGGGATACAATTCAACATCTCGTTGTCAAATTGATGCAAACTTTACCTCTTCTATTGCGAACTCTTCTAGTACTCTGTTTTCAGTGGGTCATTGTAACTGCGAAGAGGGCTACGAAGGAAATCCTTATCTTCACAAAGGATGTCAAGGTAAACTTCTAACATCAATCTAGTTTATTTAATCCCAAGTATATAGGAAATTTAACCCATTATTTTATGATAATTTAAATGAATAAATGTATCTATTTATTTACGATAATGTTTTATATACAAACTCTCACATACAAATTGATGTGTTTTAAGATGATTGAATGACTTTAAATTAAAAATAAATTAGATAATTAAAAGAGATTATATAACAAACATATAAAATTATCATATTAGTTTGTATATGTAATATTAATAATTGATTTATTACTTAAATAAGATGTTCTATATTTATTTATTTTCAATAGGATAGAACTGTGGTCAAGTGTTTCATTTCTCCATTAATTTTTATATTTATTTATTGAATTTTTGGTCCTAAGTTAGAATTTTTATATCATTACTCATTTTTTCCACTCATGAATTTTATATTATTCCCTACCATTATGCTTTGTGTATTAATTCTAAAGGCATTTGGTAAATGACAGATATTGATAAATGCAGTTCCAGCAAACCGTGTGGGAATTTGTTTTGCGAAAACCTTAACGGAGGATATGGTTGTTTCACATCACCCAGCAAAAGATCTAAGATTAACACGGTGGCGTTAGGTATGCTTAATTATTATTTCATGTTATAACTACACCTAGCAAACTGGCGGGCTGGAATGATACAAATTGGGTAACAACGGATATGAGTCAAACGGGTAAAAAAAAGCATCACCCGTATCCAGTCATGCGAGTATGGATGTACCCACGGGTCACCCGTTTCTTTTACATTTTTTTTAAATTTTCCTCTCCAATTTTTTATTTTTAAGTTTTTTCTCTCCACTTATTTTGTTATTATTTTCATCTTCACATGTTTCTCTTTCATCTTCGTCTTCTTCTTCGCTCTCTCTCCAATTCTTCTTGTCTTTTTTTCCCTCTCCACTTTTTCATATTTTTTCTTTAGTTCGTCTTCTTCTTCTCTCTCTCCAATTCTTCTTCGTCTTTTTCTCCCTCTCCATTTTTTCATATTTCTTCTTCTTCTTCAGTCTTCACCCTTCCAATTCTTCTTTGTCTTCTTCTTCTCCTTCTCTCCTACTGAAAAAAGATTTAATTTTTTTCCTCTTTTTTTTTTTTTCCTTTGTTCTTTGTGTCTCATTTTTCATTTTCCCTTTTGTCTTTTATAAACTAAATATATTATAGATCTATAATCTCCATTGCCACCATCGGTGAGGGTAAGCATGTGTTGGCGCCGTGGCAACCACTTCACGGCTTGATCCATGCCTTCTCTTGTTGATTTGTGAGTTTATTCTTGTTGGTATGAATGTTGATTTGTGGGTTTTTCTTTGTTGATATTATTGGTTTGTTGTTTGAGATTTAAAGAAATTGTTGATTTCTTTTCTTCAGACTTCACTTCACCCTCAATTGTTTTGCTTTTTATTTTGTGTGGGCACCTATGGGTATCTCCCAATCCACACGTGAAAATAACGGGTGGGCCGGGTACAGCTAATATTCATACAGATCTTAAATACATTAACCCGTACGCGTTAAAACTAGTCGGGTGTCCGTGGACCCGCAGGTATATTACCCGTTTTTCCAGTCTAGTTATAACCTACATAAAAATTCTCAGTCACTCATGGCAGAATTATATTGTTAAGAATAATATTAGAATCATCATGGTTAATTTTCATACATAAAACATATCAATCAATCAATATATATATTGTTAATGCTTGATTTTGACACCAACGACTTACACGTGCAAAGTGCTAAGCGGACTTAGAAATCACACATGATAAAGAAAAAAGAAATGATGCAGTGAATAAGAAACGATATTTAAAGTGGTTCGAATGCTCAAAAGTAAATCTTATGTCCACTGCTATTGTATTAATAGATGGATAAGATCAGGTAACGTGCAATAAGCTAAGTTATAATCTAGAAAGAATACAAAGAGAGAGAGAGAGAGAGAGTGTGTGTGTGTGTGTGTGTGTGTGTAAGCTATTTTAGACTAAGATTAGCCAATTTCGCAAATGAGAAGGATGTCCTCTATTTATAGTGGGAGAGTTTAAGGTAATGATTACAAGTCTGCAAGTGGGTAGGTGCCGTGCAAATCCTTCTTTGCGTCTCATTAGTGGTCTGCACAAGAAATATTCTTAAATTGCGCAAGGCTTGGGCAGGTGGCTAATTCCTAGCCACTCACAAGCCCGACACTCACCTACTGCACTAACAAGAACCATACTACTTGCGTTACTGCACGACGTGGCAACGCGTGGATGACACAAAACCTTCCTAACCCCTGATTGGCTCTTACTGACGAGAGTCTACGTCAGTCCTAACTTTTCAAGCATAACAGAAGTCCCCCAGTTTTTAAGGTTTAAGGATTGAACCTTGAGAATTTCATAATTATGCCACGACTTGACCTATCCCGAATGACGTTTGGTCGTGCGGACCGAGTTGCAAAGAGGTCGCAGTTTTCTAGAGGTGATCAGTAGCGCATAAGCTAATCTCTCCATTTCTAGATACCACATTTCGGCATCCTGTAGTTGCTTGCTCACATAGTATACCGACCATTGGACTCTGCTTTCCTCTCGAATAAGAGCTGCACTGACTGCATGCGAAGAGACGGACAGATACAAGAGCAGAATTTCCTCGGGGAGAGGCTTAGACAAGAGAGGTGGCTTTTTGAGGTGCTCTTTTATGCTTTGAAAAGCCTACTTGTAGTTCAGAGTCCATTCAAACTTTTTGTTGGCCTTGAGTATATTGAAAAAGGACAAGCAGTGATCTGCTACCCTTGATATGAAACGAATGAAAGCTGTTATTCTCCTATTGAGACTCTGAACCTGTTTTCGGTTGATCGGGCTTTTCATATCAAGGAGAGCTTAGATCTTCTCTTGGTTGATATATATCCCCCTCTAGTTAACCATAAACCCCAGGAATTTGTTCGAGGATACTCCGAATGAGCACTTGAGTGGATTGAGCTATATTCTGTACCTTCGGAGTATGCTGAACATCTCAGCGAGATGCGCTATGTGATCTGAAGCAACATGCGATTTGACCAGCATGTCATCAACATAGACTTCCATTGATTTTTTGATCTGTTCAGAAAATATTAACCAGGCGCTGGTAAGTCACCCCAACATTTTTTAAGCCAAAAGGCATAATCTTGTAACAATACAGCCCCCTATTTGTAAAAAATGAGGTATGCTCTTTGTCCAACACGTACATCGGAATCTAATTATATCCCGAACAGGCGTCCATAAAACTCAGCAGCTCATGCCCGTAGGTGGCATTGACGAGCTAGTCGATTCTTGGCAAGGGGAAGCTGTCTTTCAGACAGGCTTTGTTGAGGTCGGTGAAGTCAACATAGGTTCGCCACTTACCGCTAGGCTTCTTTACCAAGACCCGGTTTGCAACCTAGCTCGAGTAGAGCGCCTCTTGGATGGACCCGTTTAAAAGGAGGTTATCTACCTCAATTTTCGAGGCAGCATATCTTTTAGGGTCCATTGCTTTGGCAAATCGGCTTGATCGCACTATCAATATTCAGCGCATGATATATGACATTCGGGCTGATCCCGATCATGTTAGCACGAGTCCATGCGAATACGTCGACATTTTCTCTGAGGAAACTTGTTAGGTCTTGGGCGAGCTGGGGGTTGAGATTGCTCCTGATTCTCAACACTCGGGTCGACTCATTTTAGTCGACTGACACCTCAGATAAATCCTTGACCGGCCCATTGTGAGGGCATTCCTAGATGTGGGGATCCATTTTGTCCTCAATCGAGCTAGATTGTGGCTCGATCCTACTGATCGACATTGCCTATTCGGGGATGCCAACTAGTATTCCTCTTTCCTTGCACGCCATCTGCATTGCTCTTATATAGCAGTTGCGAGATTCGTGTTGAGAACTGCTTACTTCCCTTATCCCAGTCGGGGTGGGGAACTTCATTTTCACATGGTAAATGGAGGTGACTGCCTTGAAGTTTCTTAGCAGAGGTCGTCCCAAAATTCCATTGTAGGCGGACGGACAGTCTATTACCAAAAATTTGTCATTTTGGTCATTTCGTCGGTTTCCCCCAATGTGATCAGGAGCGAGATCGTTCCCCTAGGAATCAGATGATCCCTGGTGAAACCATAAAAAGGGATGGAGGCAAGCTTCAGGTCTGCCTCGTCCAATTGCATTTTCTCGAATGCTCACTGAAATAGGATATTCACGGCGCTCCCATTATCCACCAACATCCTGTGGACTTCGTACCGGCCTATTTCAAGCATGATGACGAGAGCATCCTCATGGGGATGATGCAATTGCACAGCGTCTTTCTCAAAGAAGGTGATCTCCTCCTCTCTGTGAACCTTAGTGGGTCGCAGCGCCATGCTCATGACACTCACGAGGTTATGGCGGGCTTTCTGAGCATACCTCTCCTGGGCACCTTGAGAATCTCCTGCGAGGTGTGGTCATCCGAAGATGGTTCCTACACAATAGAGTCATTTGCGACTACGAAGCTTCTTCCTTGGTTCCTCTTGATCCTTCTCCCGAACTGGAGTTGGGCCATTAACATATTCTTTGAAGTGCCCTTACTTGATGAAGTCTTTGATTGCCTACTTGAGAGCTCGACACTCATCGGTGTGATGCCCATTATCTCTATGATAGCGGTAATACTTTTTATTGTTTCTGGCTGAGGGGGGATTCTTCATTGGCTCTAGCTCTCCGAGCAAGCTAGCCTCCTCTGATTTATCCAGAATGGCTGATACCGAGGCGTTTAGAGAAGTGTATTGATTCTTGTCGCTATAGCGATGAGGAACTAGGGCATAAGATTTCTTGGGCTCAAACCGATGCTTCTTTCCTCTCCGCTGATTGTCATTAGCCCATCTACGATCAGTCCTCTTATTCTTCCCCCGGTTGGGAGCACTGCTCGAGGGACCAGGGTCATGGCGATTGAGAGCGGCTACAGAATTTTTAATTCGAAGGTGTCTTTCGATGAGGTTGTAGAAGCGAGTGAGGGAAACATCATCCTCTGATTACAGTTCCTTCCATAAATCTGTCTGCGGGCCAACTCCCGTGATAATGAGAGTCTGAACGGATTCTTCGGGAGTATGAGCCACTTTGTGGAGTTCCTTGTGGAATCTGTCTATATAAGATTGGAGGGATTCATCCCCCTTCAATCGTATGTTGCTCAGATAGCTCAACGTCATTAAGAACTTCCTGTTCGCCTAGAAGTGTTTCAGGAATGACGAGCTCATTGGAGGCCATGAGCTGACTTATCCCACGGGAAGCGACCTGAACTAGTGCTTAGCATGTGCAGTTAGAGTTACTACCAAGCAACAACATTTTTCCAAGTCGGAGACTTGGTGGAGTTCCATGAGGTTATTGAACTCGTACAGGTGATCCTGCGGGTCTGAATTCCCATCGAATGCTCGCATGTCGGACATTCTGAATCTCGATGGGAGATGAGCAGCTAACATTGTTGGAGAAAAGGGAGACGCTTCTGCGACCTTCCCATGCTCATTTTGTTGAGCCTTAAGCTGATCCAACGCTCATTGTAGTTCCTCAATCTGAGGCAACAAAGCTGCCTGGGGATCACTTTCTGCAACGTGGACCCTCACAGTTGTGGTTGAGGAAAGATCGCAAATCGGGCTCTTCCTCGGCTCGGCTGGAAGCTCCAACAAACCTTGACACACGCTAATTGGAGTCGTTTGATGGCATTAAGTGATTCAGGGAATTTTCTTAATCTCCATGGTGGTCCGAACAGACCTGCGGACAACAGGAATTTCCTGCATGATGACGGTCGAGGTCTTCATTTTGGAGATATTGGGAATCTTCCCGCCTTACACTTTTGTGGGAATGCCCATGCAAAATAGCGGGGGACAACTCATGCTGTGACATGTCGCTGAGTCGTAGTGCCATGGTATTCTACCTGTGGCGGAAGCGGTGTTGGCTGGTCTCTCGGAGCCCTCCGATCAGTTGTTTGCCACTTGCTTTCCCTTTGTTTAACGCGCTTCAGTGTGCGCGGTATGGGCTTTCTCCCTTTTTCGAGTTTTCACGCGACCTGCAGGTGTTTTTGGTGGTGGCACCGCCTCATTGGATTTTGGCAGCATGACCCGATCCAAATGGTCTAGCCTTTGGCTAACCGTTTGGAGAGTATTATTGAACCTCTCCAGGTAACTCATGATGGCTAGGTCGAGCCACGAGCTTGAGGGAATATCCGCCACAATACTCTACTAGACTGGCGGCACTTCTGGAGAATTGTCTTCTTGTACCTAGGGGATTTCCTCATTGTCATAGTTGATTCGCTCAGGTTCGAAACCGTGAGCCATTTGTTGATTGGTATGACCGATTAGTTAAAGATTTTTTATGAAGAGCAGATACTAAATCAGGACCCCCCTTCTAGCGCTAAACTGTTGATGCTTGATTTTGACACCAACGACTGGCATGTGCAAAATGTTAAGCGGACTTAGAAATCACACGTGATAAAGAAAAAAGAAATGATGCAGTGAATAAGAAACGATATTTAAAGTGGATCGGATGTTCAAAAGCGAATCCTACGTCCACTGTTATTATATTAATAGATGGGTAAGATCAGGTTGCGTGCAGCGAGCTAAGTTATAATCTAGAGAGAATATAAAAAGAGAGAGAATGTGTGTGTAAGCTACTTTAGACTAAGATTAGCCAATCTCGCAGATAAGAGGGGTGTCCTCTATTTATAGTGGGAGAGTTCAAGGTAATGATTACAAGTCTGCAAGTGGATAGGTGTCGTGCAAATCATTCTTTGGGGTCCATTGGTGGTCTACACGAGAAATATTCTCAAATTGCGCAAGGCTTGGGCAGGTGGGTAATTCCTAGCTACTCACAAGCCTGACACTCACCTACTGCACTGATAAGAACAATACGACTTGCGTTACTACGTGACGTGGTAGCGTTTGGATGGCACAAAACCTTCCTGACCCCTGATTGGCTCTTGCTAACGAGAGTCCACGTCAGCCCTAACTTTTTAGGCATAACATATATATATATAAGAAGTCTCAGTCACTCATGGTAAAATTATATTGTTAAGAATAATATTAGAATTCATGGTTAATTTTCTTACTTAAATCATATATATATATAATAATATATATATATATATATATATATATATAATATATATATATATATATATATATAGTGAGTTCTTAAGTATAAAAACTAACCATGATTCCATTGTTCTTTTATTCCCAAAATAATTTATCACTTCTCATTTGAAATGAATTGTACGCAGGTTTTGGCACAGGCCTTGGAAGCGTTTTTCTACTTTTGGGGGCATGGTGGTTATGCATCATAATAAAGAAAAGGAAGGATGGCAAGCTTAAACAGAAGTTTTTCAAACAGAATGGTGGTTTACTTTTACAACAACACTTAACTTCATCAGATGGCAGTGTTGATAGTAGCAAACTGTTCAACTCAAAAGAATTAGAAAAGGCCACGGACCATTTTAATGTGAATAGAATACTTGGTGAGGGAGGTCAAGGCACGGTATATAAAGGAATGTTATCAGATGGAAGAATAGTTGCTGTAAAGAAGTTTAAGGTAGTTGATGAAAGGAAGGTTCATGAATTCGTTAACGAGGTTGCCATTCTTTCCCAAATCAACCATAGAAATGTGGTTAAACTATTGGGATGTTGTTTGGAGACTGAGGTTCCTTTATTAGTTTACGAATTCATCCCTAATGGAACCCTTTTTCAATATCTTTATCATCAAAATGAAGAACTTTCACTCACATGGGGTATGCGTTTGCGAATTGCAGTAGAAGTTGCAGGAGCTGTTTCTTATTTGCACTCGGCAGCTTCCTTACCAATTTATCATCGAGACATCAAATCTACCAATATTCTATTGGATGAAAAGTTCAAAGCAAAAGTAGCGGACTTTGGGACTTCAAAATCAATTTCTATTGATCAAACTCATGTGACAACAAAAGTACAGGGAACTTTTGGGTACTTGGACCCAGAGTTTTTTCAATCAGGTCAATTCACAGATAAAAGTGATGTTTATAGTTTTGGAGTAGTTCTTGTTGAGCTTTTGACCGGACAGAAACCAACATCTTTAATGAGATCAGAAGAAAGCGGAAGTTTGATTGCATATTTCATTACTTGTGTGGAGCAGAACTGTCTAAATAATATTATAGATGCACAAGTACAAAGCCAAGGTAGGAAAGAGGAGATCGTTGCAGTTGCTAACCTTGCGAAAAGATGTTTAAACCTAAATGGGAAGAAAAGACCGACAATGAAAGAAGTATCGATGGAGTTGGAAGGAATTCAAGCATGGCAAAAAGAAGTTGCGGTTGAGTTGGAAGGAGTTCAAGCATCACAAAAAGATGATGGTATGCAGCAAACTTATCAAGAGATTAAGTATGACAATACCGAAGTATTTGAGATTGCGGGTTGGGATGTTGGTTCTTCTTCTACATCTACTTTTGAACGTGTAGGTTCATCATCAGTAGACGTTCAACCACTATTAACTAGCTAGCACACCATATTATGTAAATTTGTGTATTGCAGTGCCTATTATACTTGTGTTCATGTTGTGAAACAATTTAGGCCTTATGCTGTATTATGATACCACTTAATTTCAATAATCGTTCAAGACTTGCCATCTTTTGTGTATTCATTCTTTTGACTTGCCATCTTTTGTGTATTCATTCTTTTTCTTTTATCTTAAAAAATTATATTCCTGTATGTTTTAGTGAATAGGACTTGATATTATGAATGAGATATATTTTTGTTACAATTTTTTTTTCTTTTAGAATTAAGTATAAAAATAAAGTTCTAGAATTAATGGATAAATGATAATTTCATTGTATATTTAATTTTGAGAGTATTTTTTATTAAACCTTTTTGTGTAAAGAGCTTTTGGGTGAAAAAAGCTTGAAACTTGGAGTTTTTATTTTTTTCATTTTCTTTTATCCAGTTGAACGTGAGAATTAGAATTTACAGTTTTAACTCTAATATCATGTTAAGTTGTCATCTTACGTAAAAGCTAAACCTGTCCAGTACTAATGAAATTAATGTACCCAAAAAATTAATATATAGAGCATGAGAAAATAAATAATGCATCATGCACATTAATTAAATTAACCAGGAAGCATAACTCGAGTACAAGAGTTAAATCGGTAACTTGCAACTTTTTTTTTCCTCTTTGCAATATCAAGCATATACATTAACTGCTATAATGAGCTCTCAGGCCCACACATAGACTTTTTAATCAGTTAAGTCTTAGATCACAGAGATGAAATATGTGGAATATGTGGTTGTGGTGGAATATCACAGAGATGGAATCTAAGAAGATATGCAAGGAATTATCATCGCGGTTTCTGTAAATTTCTACGAGGGACGACCTCGTTTTGCATATTTGAAGTCAATAGAGCAAGAAGGTTTGAGAGAGTTAAGAATGATTCTACATTTTCTGTTTCGGATAATCTTTCTATCATGGCCAATGATCTTGAGGACACAAGCACCAGCATTATAGCAAAGCGTAATTATCCATCCATATGTGGAAACGTTACCATTCCATTTCCATTTGGAATTGGAAAGGGTTGTTATAGTTGGGATAGTGCCTTGAATCTCATATTTGCTTGGAAAAGGGAGTTGCAAGGGACTCTCACATTTAAATAAAATAGTAGATTGAGCTTTTAAAGTATCTCAAAAATTGTAAGAGAGATATCAAAAGATAGTCATTGTTAGGACTGTGCAAAACCGGATACCCGCTCCGATTTTGACCAAAAATCGGGTACCCAAAAATTCGGATACCTGCAAAAATATACCCGCTAACCTAACCGGTTTTAGAATACCCGGTTTTGCAGGTACCTGAAAATTCGGGTCACAAATCGGGTATCCGATTTTGTTACCTGAATATTCCAACAGTCCTAACTCCTAGCCAGCAGTTCTTCTCAAATTCATTGACTTCTTTAACCAACATCCCCGCTCAAATTCTCAAACTCTCTTCCTTTTTCTATTAGCTCTGTTCTCCTTTAATCCCTTTAGTCAACCGATGCAGAAACTCTAAAAAAAAACTTGCTCAACTACTCAAGAACTTGCTCAGCTACTTAAGGCAACAACTCATTTTCAGTTCTGCAGTTTTAATTGCAACTTCAATTAATCAAAACTGGAAACAACTCATTTTCAGTGCGGCTGTGTGCAGGTCCTGCAGGACTTGAGTACTGGAAAGGACGAAGAGTGGAAAACTGAGATTGGAAGTTTATGCAGTGAGCCAGTGACGGGTTTTCGTTTTAGGGCATCTGAAATTTTTAGATTTGGGGCTTTTAGGTTTTAGTCTAACGTCTTTTTTTTTTTTAATAAAAACCGAGTACCTGGTTTCCTAAAATTAAATAACCGATACCCGAACAGAAAATTCAAGTATCTTATAAAAACTACCTGAAATCGACCCGAATTTTCGGGTACCCGAAAATCCAAGTTCGGTTCGGTTCGGTTCGGTTTGATTACCGGTTTTTTTTTGCACAGCCCTAGTCATTGTGGGTTATTGTACCCGAAAATCCGGGTTCGGTTCGGTTCGGTTACCGGTTTTTTTTGCACAGCCCTAATCATTGTGGGTTATTATTAAGGGTCTAGTTGGGCTTTTTGGGATAGTGTAAGGAGTTTGCAATTTTTCTCTTCTAAAAATTGCACAATTGTAAGCTTTTGCTTCGTGGATTAATTGAGTGAATAGTGGACGTAGGCTAAATTGATTGGGTCAAACCACTTTAAAATTCTTGTGTTTTGGTTTTCTTTATTTTTAGTTGCTTGTTTTAATTTTGCGTTTCCTTTGTGGGAATCTTTTTTCAACAAGTGGTATTAGAGCCCACGATTCGTATTCTGGGAGATGGCAAGCTTTAGAGGAAGCCAGATTTAAGAGTAGATCGACGACTGTCAGGCATCTCAATTTCCTGGAGGTATGTCTAAATTTGAGGTTCTTTTATTTGATGGTAAAATTAATTTTATGTGATGACAAAGTACAATATAATGAGGGAAGGGGTGGTGAAGAAGAAGAAGAAGAAATAAAGACAAGAAGAAAGCCTGGTGAACAATGAAAATGTAGCTCGAAGACAGAAGAAGAACATAGATTCATGAATGAAGGAGAAAAAAGAATGAAATTAGATTTGATTTAGGGCTTTTTTAGTGGACTGGGCTGGTTGGATCGGTGGTCTGACACTGTTACGGCGGTCCAAAATGGTCCACTGCTGAATATGAGTTTTATTATTTGTTGAACCAGAGTTATGTCTGAAACCTGACCGGCCAATCCAGTTCAAGTTTCAGAACGCAGCTCAAGATGTTATGAACATGTCACACATTCCTATGGGTTTGGACTAGGGGATATCCAGTTCAACATTTTATTTGTTTGTAAAATATAAAAAATCAAGATATAAGTTCAAATCTAGCTGTAAACTTTATGCAAACTATTAGTAAATTAAGAATAACATTTATCCTAATTCAATCTCAAGATCATATCAAAAGTCGTTATTGCAATCACATTATGATAAATGAATTGTAATAATAGTTAATTATACTATAAATACCTCTTATCGATACTCAGGTAGTTCTTTAAATCACATGTATTGTTAGAATACAATCAGAGAATATTTTTCACTGTATTGTAATTAGGGAAGTTGTGTGTGGTAAATGCCAATTAATATTGTATACGGGTGGGTTCCATCATGGGTGTCTCACACATACCCAGTACAAACTTTACCTCTTCCCTGCCAACTCTTCTATGGTACTTCATTGTAAATGCAATCGGGACTTCAAAGGAAATCCTTATCTTCTCTTTGGATGTCAAGGTAAATTTCTAACATTAATGTAATGTATTAAATTCCGACGATATGAAAAAACTTATTAAATAAATAAACAAATTAACACATTACGATAGATTAAATGTATAAATAATTAACTTCAAATAGAAGTTATGAGGTCATTGTTAAAGTTTGTTTTGTTTTTTTTTCAATTTTCTTTACTTTTATATGAATAGATTTACATGGTACATGTGAAATGAAAAAAGAAAATGTTATATAATAAGTTTTAGTAATTATAAAAGTATATAATAAATATTTTTTTCAAATTAAAAAAGTACGTTGAAGACGAGCCAGTAGGCGTAGTATTCGCCGCAGTCTTCACAGAAACGACACCACTACTATATCATTAGAATAACTTAAAAATGTAGAGAATTTGGGAGGGAGGCTATGCATTAGCAAGAAGACTGATGTGAACTGTGTTAATGTATGGGTAATGAAAGAGTATGGAAAGGGAGAGTCTAGGTATAAATTGCACTCGTTTAAGATAATGGAAGATTGTTGGTTTCTTCATTATGGAAATTTGGCATTATCCAAGAATGGAGACAAAACTCTTAGTTCAATTAAATCATGATGCTCTTCAATGGCATGACCTGAAGTTGAAGGAGGAAGCAAAAGATTACGTAGTTAGTTTTCCAGGTATTTTAAACAATGTTTACGTTGACAAGTGTTATAAGAGTCTTGTTTCTCCATAGGGGATTTAAATGGTGGGCTCTGGTAACATGGTAGCTTTAGACTTGACAGTTTTCTCTTTCGGCCATTAGCTGTAGGACTAATTGAAGTTTGGTTTTTGTTAAGCGGGCTTGAAGATTTCAGTGTTATTACCATTTGGTTCATCTGAAACTTGCTGCCAAGCTACATGAAATAGATTTCCAGAAATCCGCAGAAAAATTGTAGCTAACTATCCCAAGTGAGAAGCGAAATTATTCTGATTAAGACGAGCTTCTAAGTATAACCATCATCTTAGAAATTGAATGAATCCATCAGGGAAAGTGTTTTGAAAATGATTTCAACAGAAAACTAATGCCCACCATAAGAAAAGTTGAAAAAATATTATGATTCTCCCACATCGCTGTGTTAGAGTTTGAGTTTAACCTTTATATATAATTTGGACAACCCATGTTACTGGCTCAAGCTGTCAAGTTGAAACTCAAAAAATTTAAACCTTTCTGAATAATTTGGGTTTTTTCTGAATAATTATAATTTTCATAATCAAGTTTTTTCATTTTTTTTATTATTATAATTAAGTTTATATCCTTCTTTACATTCCATTTTATTTTCATGTAAATAACTATAGGTAATTAAACATTTATCTTATTCTTTGAGTTTTTATTTATTCTTCTCCTCATTTTATCTTATTCTTTGAGATTGTAGGCAAATTTCAGTCTAAAATGTCACAGCTGTTTGAAGAATTATTAGCACAAATCTTTGTGAAACTACCCATCAAGTCCTTTCTTCGTTGTCGATGTGTATCAAAATCATGGCGTGCTCTGATCGATAGCCAAGATTTCATTGACAGGCATCCACAACAATCAATTAAAACCAGCCGCCTTCATCTCATCTCATACTCGCCGCTGGCACCAACTCCAATCTCTACAGTTACCCGGCAGATTTTGATGATCAGGTTCTAAACAAACAACTAACACCAAATTTCAAGCTCCTATTCGCATTAAAATCCGATTATGATATATTGGGTTCATGCAACGGGCTGCTTCGTCTTCGCAACTTGTCAAGTTTTCATTTTGATCTTAAGTTATGGAACCCATTTACAATGAGGTGGAAATATTTACCAGCTGCACCTGCAGGATTTGAGAAATTATTTTATGGCTGTAAACGGGTGGCTTACTCTGGATTTGGCCATGAGAATGTGAAAAACGAGTACAAGATTGTGAAAATCTTTCGACTCTTCAACTCAAACGATGGCTTCCAACGTAACCCTATTGCGAGTGAAGTCCATGTTTACAGTTCAAAGTCCAATTCATGGAGAAGGGTTCAAGATTTCCTTACGACGAATATCTGTATGGAGATCAGAGAGGGAGTTGTTCGTAAGTGGAGGGAGCATCACACTGGTCAATGTACACGTTTATGGCGAAAAATTAGAATGGTCAGTGGTTGCTTTCGATCACAGGGTTGAAGAATTTAGAATTGCACCATGTCCGAGGAGTGAAGCAGAACATATTCATCTAGAGAACGTGAAAGGGAGGCTATGTATTTGCGAGGAGATTTACTTGAGTTATGTGGAAATTCATGGCAGAAATTGCATTGGTTAAAGCTACGGAGTTTGGTAAGTGGCTTCTTGAAAATCTGAATCCATAGCAAAACTGAAAATGGAGACAAACTTTTAGCGCAATCTGGTAAAAACTGTCTGCAGGTAAATCTGAAGGAGTTAAAGAACTGCCTATATAGATTTCAAGACAGTTGCAGCTGCAAGTATTTGACAATGAAATTTGAGGATCCATATCTATCAAAATTAGTAGAACATATATTACAGTGAAAGATTTTTAATATTATTCTCTTATAAATAAGGTATTACAGAAAGCTACCACAACCACCATCTCCATTAATTAAGGTAAACACGCGGTAAATTACAAGTATGAGAAAACAGACATTAACGAAGTTAAATGTGGATGATTAAGTACTGTTTCTAAAGTAACATACTTAATGATCATTAATAAAGTTGAGCTTATTTGCATAATTTTAATGTCTCTACGATGGTTAACAGCTCCTGGAAGTGTAGTACCAAATATTGAGCTTAGAATTGCATTTTAATTATTGTTCATGAAGAGCAACATGAAGAACTCAATGTTAACAGTGCTATACATTGACTGAATTGCATCAGACAGCCAGATTAAATCTCATCTACTTTAAAAAACTTTCTGATGTTTGAAGCAGGGCCGTCTCTAAAACATTTATGACCCTAGGCAGGAGTTATTTTAGGGCCCTCTAATAATATAAGATATATTAAAAAAGTTTCTTTTTTTTTTTTTTTTTTTTTTTTTTTTTGCCTTTTGAGATGAAAAATCACTAGGAGATGTGGATAGCAATCAACAGGCTAACAAGGTTAGGTTGGTGGGGGGTTTTAGAGAGTAGATGTTGGAGAAGTGATGGGTGGTGAAATGGGTGATTTCCAATACCAAGATTGATAAGGAAAGGCTTGAGAAGTCACGGCCCAAAAGGTATCGATGGCCGTGATTGGCAGAGTAAAGGATAAGGTATGATAGGGGTTTTGGTGAGAGGGCTGAGGGAGGAAGATGGTGGTGTCGAGGAGGCCAACATGTCGGGTACATGCCAAAAAGGCTGGAAATGGCTATGTGTGATGGAGGTGGGTTGCGAGATCATCCAAAATTAGTCAAATCGAGGGCTATCAAGGTTGGAAAATGATAAATAATGATTTCGGTCGATTTTGGTGAGAAAATCGACCGGAACCAAAATTGACCGAAATCAACCCAAACCACTAGCGGCAGAGAGGGGTGAAGATGATTTATGTGAATATCAAATTTTGGGATTGAATTGGGGGTGAGTAATTTGAGATATGTAAATGACTATTTTAGTCTTCCATTGTTAAAAGAGATTTAATGTGTTAATTTAAGGGTATAAACTAGAATATATAAAACTAGAGGTACAAACTTGCTATTTTGTTAAACTTTGGGTGGGAATATACGTAAAAAGTTAATAATAAATTTGGGCTTTTTTGGCTTTTTTTTTGGGGACTCTTGGCTTAGATAAGAAATTATAAACCATTTTCATTTTTGTAAGATATTCAAAAAAAAAAAATAATAATAAATAAATTTGGACCCCCATTTTTTTGGGGCCCTAGGCAGGTGCCTCACCTGCCTACCCCTTAAGCCGGCCTTGGTTTGAAGATGTCAGGTCGATTATTATGCTACCAAAACGCGTATCTATACTCCAAAGCTATACACATCACTTTTATCTATGAAATGCTTTGATTGAAAAAACTCTAGATCCATGAAAATACACATCACTGTTACTTGTATTCGACGTTAGGAACTGCCATGATTTCTTCACCATTTCCCTCGTCTTTCACTTGAGTATTCAAAACATCATCCAAATGATTCTACTAGATTTAGTCAACAAACTTTTACCCCAAACTTCCACCTAATGTACTGGTTTTTGTTCGTTCGAAAGCTCAATAAGTACTACCTGGAAGCTATAAACACCACTTTTTTCTGTGAACTGCCTTGATTGAAAATACTTTGAGTCCATGTATCCAACGTCCTCATAACTACTTTTGTGGTCGCATGAGTTTGATCAATCTATGGATTTTGAATTCCCAAAATCTGCTAACTTTGCTCTATATTTATCATCTATGAGTATATTTGCGGACTTGAAGTCTTGATAGTAGATGGGCATGGAAGGTGTCGAGTGCAAGTAAAAACAGAGCGTCTACAAATTTTGTGACAATTCTTAAGCGCATATCCCATGTGAGTGGAAGAAACTCTTCTTTTGGATCATGAATATATTGGGAAAGAGTTCCATTGGGAATATGATTATTATAAAATAATCAATTATTATATTAGTAACCGTAAATAATAAATATATTGAATATGAAAACAATATAACTAAATGTTAATAAAATAAAATAACAATACCAACAACGTGATCACGTGTAGAAGATTCTTTAGAATGACAGGAAGAGATTTGGTAAAAAATACAATCTTAGGATGAATGTCGAGATCTGTGTAACATATAGTTTCATCAAAATAGATTTGTCTCTTTCACTGGGGTGTACAAAGATTTAAGCAACGTCTATTTCCTATAATACAACAATAGATGAATATTAACATAATCACTATTTTTCAATTCTAACGAATTGAATTAAATCTTAACTCTAAAGAAAAAAAACCTTAAAAAACTAGAGAAAAAGTAAGAAATTAAAAGAACTCTCAATTGTTTTGTGTGTCAAAAATGGGGAAAACCTTAAAAAACTAGAGAAAAAGTAAGAAATTAAAAGAACTCTCAATTGTTTTGTGTGTCAAAAATGGGGGGAAAAAAAAAAACACTTTTTGTACTACTTAAGATAGGACAAACACTACCATTATTTTCCATTTTTTCACTTTCTAACTTTAAAACCTTCTCCTTTAATTCAGTAACTTTTCATCTTTCAAATTCTTAACTTATACCACCACGTTTAATTTCATTAAATTTATTTAATCTATTCCAACAATGATATCATATTTAATATATTCCTTTGTAAACTGTACCTTGGCATCCTTCTCCAACAATTCGATTTGCATTAAATCAGTGGCCTTATCTAAATCCTCCATTTAGGCCCCTTCACACCCTCTTTCATGAAACGTTGTTTTTTTTTTTTTTTTTTTTTCATTTTCTTTTATGTAGGAATATTTTCGCAACAGAAGATTGTTTTACTGAAAATTTTTATCGGTGATACTTAAATAAAATTTCAAAATTTTAATAATCTCATGGGCTAGCTTCTTTTAATTTTGCTATTTTTTTTTATTTTCTTTCATAGAGAACCACTTTGTGTTTATAGGTTCTTAACCCTAGTTACGTTAGTTTTTATAAACTTTAATAATTTAGCTTCCTGATTACGTTAATATTCCTAAATTTGCTAGATTTAGAACTTTCCTTTTACCCTAAACCAAGGGAACCCAAGTCTAATTCCTTTCTCACTAGGATTACAGATTATTTTTCCAGGTCAACCAAAGTCTATTAATTTCATTTTTGATCCGGTTGTCCTATGAGAGCTCAGACCCACGCATAGACTAATTAATCAGTCAAGTATGCCGGCTGGTCGAGTTTGTGGTTGTGGTTCTAGGGACTTGGATAGAAATATCATAAAGATGGAATCTAAGAAGATACAAGGAACTATTGACCTCGTTTTATATCCTCGAAGTCAATAGTTAAGAGTCAAAATAGAGGAAGAAGGTGAAGCAAATAATTGATCAGAAAATAGAGGAAGAAGGTGTGAGAGACTGAAGAATGATTCTGCAGTTGCTGTTTCAGATGACATAACGAAGCTTAAATGTGGATGATTAAGTACTGTTTCTAAAGTAACATACTTAATGATCATTAATAAAGTTGAGCTTATTTGCATAATTTTAATGTCTCTACGATGGTTAACAGCTCCTGGAAGTGTAGTACCAAATATTGAGCTTAGAATTGCATTTTAATTATTGTTCATGAAGAGCAACATGAAGAACTCAATGTTAACAGTGCTATACATTGACTGAATTGCATCAGACAGCCAGATTAAATCTATCTACTTTAAAAAACTTTCTGATGTTTGAAGCAGGGCCGTCTCTAAAACATTTATGACCTAGGCAGGAGTTATTTTAGGGCCCTCTAATAATATAAGATATATTAAAAAAGTTTCTTTCTTTTTTTTTTTTTTTTTTTTTTTTTTGCCTTTTGAGATGAAAAATCACTAGGAGATGTGGATAGCAATCAACAGGCTAACAAGGTTAGGTTGGTGGGGGGTTTTAGAGAGTAGATGTTGGAGAAGTGATGGGTGGTGAAATGGGTGATTTCCAATACCAAGATTGATAAGAAAGGCTTGAGAAGTCACGGCCCAAAAGTATGATGGCCGTGATTGGCAGAGTAAAGGATAAGGTATGATAGGGGTTTTGGTGAGAGGGCTGAGGGAGGAAGATGGTGGTGTCGAGGAGGCCAACCATGTCGGGTACATGCCAAAAAGGCTGGAAATGGCTATGTGTGATGGAGGTGGGTTGCGAGATTCTCCAAAATTAGTCAAATCGAGGGCTATCAAGGTTGGAAAATGATAAATAATGATTTCGGTCGATTTTGGTGAGAAAATCGACCGGAACCAAAATTGACCGAAATCAACCCAAACCACTACGGCAGAGAGAGGGTTGAAGATGATTAGGTGAAATAAATTGAACTGAAAATGGAGACAATCTGGTAAAAACTGTCTTGCATGGTATAATCTGAAGGAGTAAAAGAACTGCCTATATAGATTTCAAGACAGTTGCAGCTGCAAGTATTTGACAATGAAATTTGAGGATCCATATCTATCAAAATTAGTAGAACATATATATTTTACAGTGAAAGATTTTTAATATTATTCTCTTATAAATAAGGTATTACGGAAAGCTAACCACAACCACCATCTCCATCAATTAAGGTAAACACGTGTTACATTACAAGTATGAGAAAACATCATCCAAATGATTCTACTAGATTTAGTCAACAAACTTTTGCACCAAACTTCCACCTAATGTACTGGTTTTTGTTCGTTCGAAAGCTCAATAAGTACTACCTGGAAGCTATAAACACCACTTTCTTCTGTGAATTGCTTTGATTGAAAATACTTTGAGTCCATGTATCCAACGTCCCCTTAACTACTTTTGTGGTCGCATGGGTTTGATCAATCTATGGATTTTGAATTCCCAAAATCTGCTACCTTTGCTCTATACTTATCATCTAAAGAGTATATTTGCAGACTTGAAGTCTTGATAGTAGATGGGCATGGAAGGTGTTGAGTGCAAGAATACAATCTTAGGATGAATACCGATGCCTGTGTAACACATAGGCTTCGTTTGTTTCGTTTTTGAAAACACTATTATTAGTATTCCCAAAAACAGTTAAATAGTAAAATGTCGTTATTCTCAAAATATTATTCTATATTTTTTAATTTCTTTTAAACCTCTTAAATTTGTTAATTTAACTAAACACTCCCAAATATTTTTTTTAGAAATTGCAAAAACACTTCGGCTATCCTCCGGCGGTGGTGGGCAGCTGTCCGTATTTAATGGATGAGTTGGGGGGGTTTTTGTTAACTTTTAATATTTTATTATGGGGGTATGTAGTAAATAAACAAACATATAAGATATCTTTGCTAATTTCCAAATCCTACATCGTAATACCTGTCCAATTTAATTTTTTTCAAAAGATTATTCTAAAAACTATCAGAATAATGAACCAAAAGGAGCAATAGTTTTCTTAAAACATATTCCCCTATTTCATTTGGATGCACAAAGATTTAAGCAACGTCTGTTTCCCATGATACAACAACAGATGAATAGCAAAAGAAGTACCACTTTTCTATTCTAACAAACTGAGTTAAGTCTTAATTCTAAAAAAAAAAAAAAAAAAAAAAAAAAAAAAAAGAAAAATTGGGGAAAGTAAGAAATTAAAAGAACTCTCATTTTTTTTTTGTGTTAAAAATGGGAGAAAAACACTTTTTTATACTACATAAGATAGGACAAACATTGAATTCCACAATTATTTTACAACTTTTCACTTCAACACCTTAAAACTTTTCTTTAATTCACTAACTTTCATCTCTCAAATTCTTAACTTACACCACACATTTAATTCATTAAATTTATTTTATATATTCCAACAATGATATCATATTTACTGTATTCCTTTGTAAACTGTACCTTGCCATCCTTCCCCAACAATTCGATTTGCACTAAATCAGTGGCCTTATCTAAATCCTCCATTTAGGCCCCTTCACACCCTCTTTCATGAAACGTTGTTTTTTTTTTTTTTTTTTTTTTCATTTTCTTTATGTAGGAATATTTCGCAACAGAATTGTTTTACTGAAAATTTTTATCGGTGATAATTAAATACAATTTCAAAATTTTAATATCCATGGGCTAGCTTCTTTTAATTTTGCTATTTTTTTTATTTTCTTTCATTGAGAACCACTAGTTTTTATAGGTTCTTAACCCTGGTTACGTTGTTTTTTAAACTTTAATATTTAGCTTCCTGATTACGTTAATTTCCTAAATTTGCTAGATTTAGAACTTTCCTTTTACCCTAAACCAGTAACCCAAGTCTAATTCTTTTCTCACTAGGATTACAGATTATTTTCCAAGTCAACCAAAGTCTTTAATTTCCTTTGTCCGGTTGTCCTATGAGAGCTCGACCCACGCATAGACTAATTATCAGTCAAGTATGCCGGCTAGTCGAGTATGTGGTTGTGGTTCTAGAACTTGGATAGAATATCATAAAGATGGAATCTAAAAAGATACAGGAATTATCATCCTTTTTCCTTTAATTTAATATTGTACACGACGACGACCTCGTTTTAATCCTCGAAGTCAATAGTTAGAATCAAAATAGAGGAAAAGGTGAAGCAAATAATTGATCAGAAAATAAGGAAGAAGTGAGCACGAAGAATGATTCTGCAGTTGCTGTTTCAGATGATCTTTCTATCATGGCCAATGATCTCGAGGACACAAGCACAACATAGTAAGCCTGGTTGCCATCCAAATGTGGAAACATTACCATTCCATTTCCATTTGGCATACAGAGGGTTGTTACATTGAGGATTGGTTTGCCATAGACTGCGACTCTAATGATAAGCCATTCATCAAGAGAATCCACTTGGAGGTGCTTGAAATTTTTCTAAACGGTACCATGCGAGTAAATCATCGAGTTTAAGCACTTGTGACGAATCTTATGATTCTACTTTGCCGCATGGTAACTTGCTAGCTGAAAGCCCATTTGTCTCTCTCAAAAAGCAACAGATCACCGCCTTAGGTTGCAACAACATTGCCTATATGAGAGTCTCTGAATTTTCGATGTGGTGGGTGCCTTTCTACTTGTGACAAGAGACCAAAACCGGAGAGATGGTTGTTACGGCATAAACTTGTTGCCAAACCAAAATTCCTTCATCTCTCAAGGTATTTAACACACCTATAAGTACCTTTAATGATGAAGAAATAGGGAGATATTACTGAATGCGGGTATGCCTTTTTGGTGGACCAAAATTGGTTTGAAAAGAATCCTCAAAATGTTGAAAAAAGGACACACTTCTGTGGTATTGGACTGGGGGATACTAATTCATCGTTTAATCTGTTGCAACACAAAAACAGAGGACAATTCAACATCTAGTTGTCAAATTTATGCAAACTTTACCTCTTCTATTGCGAACTCTTCTAGTACTCAGTTTCCAGTGGTTCATTGTAACTGCAGAAAGGGCTACGAAGAAATCCTTATCTTCTCAAAGGTGTCAAGGTAAACTTCTAACATCAATCTAGTTTATTTAATCCCAAACTATATAGGAAATTTAACCCATTATTTTATGATAATTTAAATGAATAAATCATCTATTTATTTACAATAATGTTTTATATACACATCTCACATCAAATTGATGTTTTAAGATGATTGAATGACTTTAAATAAAAATAAATTAGATAATTAAAAGAGATTATATACAAACATACAATTACATATCATTTGTATATTAATATTATAATTGATTATATTTAAATAAGATGTTCTTTATTTATTTATTTTCAATAAGATAGAATTGTGGTCAAGTGTTTCATTTCTCCATTAATTTTTATATTTTTTATTGAATTTTTGGTCCTAAGTTAATTTTTATATCATTACTCATTTTTTTCCACTCATGAATTTTATATTATTCCCACCATTATGTTTTATGTATTAATTCTAAAGGCATTTGTAAATGACACGATATTGATGAATGCGTTCCAACAAACTGTGGGAATTTGTTTTGCGAAACTTAAATGGAACATCCGTTGTTTCACATTACCGCAAAAGAGCTAAGATTAACTGGTGGCTAGTATGCTTTAATTATTCTTTCATGTTATAACTAACCGGGCAAACGGCGGGCCGGACGGATACGAGTTGGATAACAACGGATACGGGTAAAAAAATGCATCACCCGTATCCAGTCATGTGAGTATGGATGGACCGCGGGTCCCCGTTTCTTTTACTGTTTTTTCAAATTTTCCTCTCCAATTTTTTCCTTTTTTAGTTTTTTCTCTCCACTTACTTTTTTATTATTTCATCTACACAAATTTCTCTTCATCTTCATCTTCTTCTTTGTCTCTCTCCCAATTCTTCTTGTCTTTTCTCCCTCTCTTCTTCTTCTCTCTCTCTCTCTCTCCATTCTTTTTCGTCTTTTCTCCCTCTCCATTTTTTCATATTTCTTCTTCTTCTTCAGTCTCTCCCCTTTAATTC